ATTTTTAGATTGTGTTGGTGTTGGTGTATTTGAAAATCCCACCAGATATTCCAAAAGTCAGGATAATGTCAGCACACAAATTTACTAGGGGCTGTGTAGCAATCCTACAAAAAAGTGAACTCATACAACTTATATTGTGACAGAGAAGAAATAAGGAAAGATTTATTTGATGTTGTTAAGTATAAAATGTACACAAATTGTTTCACTAAATCCCGTTCTTTAAAAAAAAAAAAAAGCTAAACCGATGTCCAGTATTGTACCTGCACCCTATTTTTGGGAACAATATGAATATTATTAATAACATATGGTGCTAAAAGTTCTTTTTGTATGTTTTTGTTTTTAGAAGAAAAGAGAAATATTATGCTGAAATGTAATGTTAAGCCTTACTGTAGATTCATATATCAGACTGTTCATCAGAGAAGAGAAAAATAAATATAGTCTTTGAAAGTGCAATATATCAGTACTGTATTCAAATGCACACCTCACATTTAGAAAATGGTCATCTCTGACAGTGGTGTTAATTGAATGTGTCCTTTTTACTGTTTTGTTTCACATGTTAGAACCTAATTCTACATATTATAGTTAAATTATAAATATATTTTAAAAAATAGCCTTTTGAAGCATGATCAGAGATTATTTTCACATAATTGAAAGTTTATGAATTTATATTAAAAACGGATTCTTTTTACAGGTCAAAATAAGACGTATTCTATCATAAAGATAATTTACTTTAGCAATCTGGGGCTATTTATACTATCTTGTACACTCACTGATTACAATGTTAGATAATAGAGCCGAAATCCGGCAGAGATCCGTATTCTTATCACTTAGTTATGAACAAAATAACGCGTTGTTTACATGTCACAGCAGCTGTTTTGGTGAGTGCACAGCAAAGCATGCTGGACCACAGTTTTTACGCCCAAAATGGCGGCACGATTGAAAAGTTTTGCTTGTCTTTTCCGAGTTTTTCAGATGTACAGCTTAATTCTTTTGAGCTTGTAACTAAACTGGTGACTCAGTTTTTAACCTCATAACGTAACAGTATTTTACTAAATTTGAGGCGTCTAGAAAAAAGCGGCATGGCGTTTAGCCTTTTAACTGAAATTCGAGCATCACTTTACCAGTTTAAGGCTAAGCTAACTTAGACTAGCAGGCTAACCTCTGACAGATGAGTGTTGGATTAAAAGCTTTGGTAGTTATGTCTTGTCACACCTGGATCTACACTCTAGGATGAATATGAAGAAGAATTATTTCTTATAGAAATGGAGGATGATGTGAAAAAAGTGAAAAAGGTAAGAAATTAGGCTACTTCGATAAAGTTACCAGGCTAGTTGGCTAGTTTACTAGCCTTAGCTTTTAGCAGGCAGGGTCCATCAAAAAGACCTTCGGGGTAAATAAAGCGTTATCATGCTAAAATGTCGTCTATCATATTCCGTTGTTATTGAAGGAGATACATTATTGATACAAGTTTGGAGGAAAATGTATTTAGGTTAAATTATAATACTGTGCTTTAAACTTAGAAATCGTACATATTTTTAGCCCAAATTCACATACATATCACTTACAATAGTGCTGATGACCGTAACCTATATAAGAATATATATCTTTTTGACATAGTGTTGTGCAATGTGCTGTTTATGTTTCCGCTGTTGCCATGGTTGACTAAAGATGAAACAGGGAAATTAAAAAAAAGATTAAAAGCTGACAGATTCAATGTTGCAATGTGAAAGCCATTTCAGCACAACTTTAACTGCCCGTCTCTAGGATTGTGGGAGATTGAGGATTGTACATGAGAACTAAGTTTGTTGATTACTCTACGTTTGGATGTTGTTAATTACACAAAAAATATAATGTATATATATACATACCAAACTATAAATAATACTATGTACACAAACTGTCATCTATAATAAAGGAGACACAAACTTCAGTAAATTTACTTTAACATAATTTAATATTAAGTGAGAATAAAACAGTTTTTTTTAATTTCATTTGTAAGTAATATTGCTTAATGTACTTTTCAGCTTACCCCTAATGCTAATCCAAAATTTACTTATGGGATATTATTTCCTGGCCCTAACAAAATATATTTTGTGAAATCTAAATGTATCGAAAAAACGAAATGTTACAACTTTAAACACATCGGCATAATGTGAACGATAAACGGTTATCCAGTCACCAAGAAATGCAATTCTTGTTTTTGCCACTTGGTGGAGACAGGGCTTCGATTTGTTTTTGGTCCACAATTCTTAAACAGCACATACATGTAAATACATACACGACAGAGAAGTTAGGGGCTTTTTGTTGAGAAACAAAGTGGTACAAACAAAACCCGCATCGCATTTGCATAAATTATACATCCTTAACTTCAATTATCTTATTTTTGTATACAAATAAGTCTACAAACCTAAGTAAAACAGAATAAGATGTTAGTTATGTGTGTGTGTGTGTATATATATAATTAAATATCTAATTTGATGTCATGTCCTGCAGAAATAAATATACCATAGAATTACAGTAATCTTTTATTGATAAATATTGTCTTCTAACAGCTAAAAACATTTAGACTATGAGTGCCATATTTGTACATACAAGACCTTATTGTGGGGTAATGCACGCAAGAACTCATGCACCAAGATGATTGTACACTCATAAATGCAATATTTTAAAAGTAGTATTGTATATGTTTTTGTAGACATTTAGCAATAAGGTGTGCCTGTTTGCAAGTCACACTTGGGTCAATGTGGTAGCATCTGACTCACATTTCACAAGGACAAGCTATTAAATGTTAATGCAGTCGTCTTCAGGAGCTACATGTGCTTAAATTATGTATCTGGCAAACAGGTTTCATTCAGTCCTGATGTCTTTGATCAAGTGTCAGTACACCAGACATCAACTTAACTTGACTTAATTTGAGGTTAAAAGTCAAAAAACAGTACAAAAAGTGAAGCCACGGGACTGCTAGTGTTAAATATGTGATAAACACATTGGAATATTAAGACCTGTATTTCCGTCTGATGTTAATTAACCTTTAATTGTGCAGTCCTGTGTAAAATAGCATGAAGTAATCAGAACAATAGGAAGTAAAGGTGTGAGAAAGAAACATCTTCCCCACAAAGTCTGTAGTGCCATTTTAAGCAAGAGTTTTCAGCTGCATATAAGTTACAATGTTATGCATGTATAAGCATGTCATCACAGGAAGCTGTGGTTGGTCCCCTTCCTGTTCTTGTGTCTGAGCAGAGGCATTATCACTTTGCTGCTTGGGGTTAGGGTCTTGCCCCTCTCTTGTTCAGACACACAGGAAGCGTTTGATTCTGTCTCCATTATCAGCTGCTACTGCACGAGTGGAGGCAACAGGTGGTTGTTTACACAGTATAAAGTATCTGTGGCGAGGTCGTGTGCTTGTGGTTGTGCAGGCAACCCGAAGCGTGTGCATCCATGGAGCCTGAGGTAGGCTTTTTAAACTGGTTTTAGTATAGTAACACGCTCTAAGCTGTTTTTAAGACTTATCTTGACTGATCTTAAGACTGATCTCTTACACTGATTGAGGATTTTGTTAAATATACCTAATAGTGACTTATGAGGTTGTAAATTCCCTTCAAGTGCTGTCTCACTAAGATAATGTAGGACATTTGACAGAAGTAAGGAAGTTTCTCTTGTGACTCTTCTGCTTATTGATTGTATGAAGTGAACGTTCATGCTATAGGCTTTTGCAATTTATTCAGTTGGATGCCTGGAGATACAGCTGCAATTTTCGGTTGGAAACTACTACTGTTTGCTGGGGCTACATATTTCCTTGTCAAAAGCAGTTTAGGTAATGGATATAGATTCCTAGTCAGCACTTGTTTTTGGACATTAATTCTGGCAGTTATCCTTATGAATATGCTGTTAGATTACCAAGGTCCAAAATTAGAATAGTACATTTGAACTTCTTTATTGTACTGAATGCAACATAGTATATTTGAGAGATTTAACAAAGCAGAAATATGCTCCTGATGCCCTAGTTTCACTAACAATACATATAATTAGTGATTAATTTCTTTCTCTTCTATTCACCAGCCTGGTATCGTGTCTCCGTTCAAGCGAGTTTTCCTGAAAGGAGAGAAGGGGAGGGACAAGAAAGCTCAGGAGAAGTCTACAGAGCGCAGGGCGCTGCACACCTTTTCACTCTCTCAGCCTGACCACCGCATTGACCCCGACATACTGCTTAATGACTACATTGAGAAGGAGGTCAAAGTGAGTGTGGAAATCTTTTCATCAGTAAGAAGTCAAAGACGCATTAACGCCTGTGTCTTTTTTTCATTAATTCCATATTTTGAAATATCATGTGTAATGGACATCTTTATGCTGCAGTACTTGGGGCAGCTGACATCAGTTCCAGGATACTTGAATCCATCAAGTAGAACAGAGGTGCTACAGCTCATTGACAATGCAAGGGTAAGTACTGCATATATTGTTCTTAATCCAGCACTTGGGCTCTAATATTTATCATGTCAGGATGATTACACTTATACTAATGTCTCTGTGATTCTCAGAAGTCACATCAGTTGGCAGGCCAGCTGACCTCTGAGCAGGACGCTGTGGTGAGTTTGTCGGCATACAACATTAAGCTTGTGTGGCGAGACGGAGAGGACATCATCCTGAGAGTTCCCATCCATGATATTGCTGCTGTGTCCTACATCAGGGACGACTCGTTGCACCTTGTTGTGATCAAAACAGGTAAATATAATAACCCAAGCATACTCCAAAAATACTCAGAAATCCTTTACTGGTTACTCTGTCTTCTTTAGTAATGTTTAAATTTTTTCCAAAAGTCTGATTTTATTTAACATTAATTATTATAACAAATTATAATTTTGCATCTGTTCCTTTCAGCCCAGGAGTCAGGAGGTTCCCCTTGTCCCAGCTCGTGTCCTGATCTTAACAAATCTCAGACTCTGAGCTCTTTATCAGAAAGTGGAGCTGTTTTGGTGGAGGTCTGCTGTCTGCTGGTGCTGGCTGTTGATAATAAGGTAATGTATTAAGTATAATGCTTGTTTAAGGTAACAGTCAAGAAACTTTCAATCTAAACCTAAATACACAGCAAATCTAACCTTTACAAGACACTGCTTGAATGTTTTACAAGTCTAACCATTACCCTGAATATATTTGATATGATTTCATATAGATTTAAAGGACATAAGTTGTCATTTTCACAAAGATAACACACCTTATTATGTCTCTTTTGTCTCTTTACTTGGTCTTTTAGGCAGCAGCCGAGGAGCTGTGCCTTTTGCTCAGTCAGGTCTTTCAGATCGTTTACACAGAGTCCACCATTGACTTCCTAGACAGAGCCATATTTGATGGAGCAACAACACCGACAAGGCACCATTCTTTGTACAGCGGTACGGAAGAATGGATTAATGATCTGCAGAAATTAAAACCGACTGAACCTGGATTAACATGTGCATCACAAATGCATTTTGGACATAAGAAATCAAATTAATTTACATAGAACAAGTTATAAAATGTTTGTTTTAATTATACAGACGACTCTTCAAGCAAAGCCGACGTTAAAGAAGCCTTTGAAACAGAGGGCGGCTTATTGTAAGAAAACTTCCACATATTACTAGTATTCAGTTCCACTGATCCAAAATGATTGTAGCTCTTAGACCTTAAACTGTGCAGTCTTTTTTCCCTGCAAGTTAGAACTGTGTTTTTTTAATCAGTCCTTTCCAGGTCTCTGTGGAAGGAGAAGGAAACTCACCGACAACGTCTACCCCAGCATCTCCTCAGACAAAGACTGCAAGTGAAGGAGAACTCAGTACCACTGCTGCAGAGCTGCTGCAGGACTATATGACCACAGTAGGATCAGTCACCTTTTCTTTCTTATCTCCTTAAATTCATACTTTGTCTTTCATCAGTCAAATGACTTCATCTGACTGCCAAATTATCTGATTTGTAGCTTTGTAGAAGGAATGCATCAAATTCTGACTGAATTATTTCTCCCTTTCATCTCTCACTGAGTAGCTGAGGACAAAACTGTCATCGCAAGAAATCCAGCAGTTTGCCACCCTGCTGCATGAATACCGCAATGGCGGATCCATCCATGAGTTTTGCATTAATCTCCGACAACTGTACGGTGACAGCAGGAAGTTCCTACTTCTTGGTACAAGTCCTTTTTATCTGGATATATGTCTGGATATTTTTTGGTGGATGTTGTATGGATGTATATATGTTACAAAGATCATCTAAACAGTTCACTCAGGTGTCAAGTGTTAAACCCATGTTTTGCAACTTTTTCTACCTTTAGGCCTGCGGCCGTTCATACCAGAGAAAGACAGTCAGCACTTTGAGAATTTCCTTGAGACCATTGGTGTGAAAGACGGCCGAGGGATCATCACAGATAGCTTTGGCCGCTACCGGCGCACAACCAGCTCCGCCTCCGATTCAACAACCAATGGCAACGGAGCGATGGGAGAAGGTGGTGCGAGCAGTGCCTCCGATGAGGGTCAGAAGGCCTCAGAGGGTGATGACTGGGATCGCATGATCACGGACATCAGCAATGACATAGAAGCTCTTGGCTGTAGCATGGACCAGGAGGCAGTGACACCATGACACGTGGTCTGCTGTGTTCAGTACCGTTCAGACAGTAAACTGACAGCCCACTCCTCAAATAAACAGTAGGCATTAGAAGAATGCATCAGATGAAGGTGGTCCATAGCACTGACCTAAGATATTAAATCAGTTATTCTCCTCTAAATGCAGAGAGGATGCTGTATAGTTAATCAAGAAATACCTAACTATCAAACATGAAGTCAACAAGCGCACTTATGCAGAACTCTGGAGATGACTTTTCACTTTGTTTGCTGTTTTGTATTTCAGGGGCGTTTGAAGCCTCTGGTTTGTTTTTTAAAGTTTCTCTGACATTTTTTATTATTCGTTTATTGGCAGTATCTGCCACTGCTGGTAGCGAAAACAACTCCACAGGTTAAGAAAATGTCTATTAATTACCCTCAAAGACACTGGTGCGTCTGTGGACCGTGTAAATGTTTGAGAAGACGGAGAGTGAAGCTGTATTTTTATTTTGTATTTGGTCAATCAGCAGCTTTGTCAGACCAAACGACTTTGGATTTTCATCAGTTACTTCACGTTTGTGCGTTTGCTGTGAGAGTGAAAGAACTTGCTATATAATTTTGTGTTACACTATCATTTGTATCAAGTGTTTACTCCTATATATGTATATATGTGTATATATATATGTGTGTGTATATATATATACACGTATATATGGATATACGTATATATATATACTTTTTCAAACTGCCCAAAAAATGCTGTAATAACAACAAATTGTCATTCGGTTGAACGTAGCCGAGTGAGGACTGTATTTGACAAAGCCTGTTAGCTGATGGCTGATGTAACGTTATGGTTTTTTATATATATATATATATATTTCTTCTTCCCATGCAGGTCATCTTTTTATGACATTACATCTGTCATTGTGCCTTTACACTGCAGTAGTGTTGCCAACTGTCGGTCCCTTGCAGACTGGTCATTATGAAGTTGTTGAGAAAACCATAGTTATTAAATAACATTTACACTGTCTGTCTGGTGTGGTAAAATCACAAGAATCAAACGTGATATGTATCCTGTCATCAACTCCTCAGGCTCTGTGACTTGACACTGATTTTACTTAATTTGACCAAACAGGACGGGAGGTAACAATTAAAAAAAATGTTGAGTTAAATCTTTTGATTGGTCATCTGCTTGGATGCACTTAAGCTGCTTTGAAACTTGAGTTTTCCTTCCATCACAGTTGTCACAGTGGATGTAACTGAAGGCCCTCAGTTTGTGGGATTAGTTTTGTGAGTTTGAGGCAGAAGAAACTGACCAGACATCTGCACATTCCTTTTGATGTAGTACCTTTCATAAGGAGTGATGATTAAGGTAACATCATAGTTTTTGTTGAGGAAACGAAGCAGAGCTGTAAAACTGCTGGCAGAGCCTGGAATATTAAACCAGGGGCATTCAATTATAAGCTCAGTTGGGTCGAATGTTCAAACCAATAAGCAGGGCCAGACATTTGCAGTGGATGATAAATTTGGACCAAACCATTGATCAGTAACCCAAAGTATTTGTCAGTCCATGCAAGTTGAGCTGAGGAAATATATATATTTTTCCGCAGTAAGATATATATAACTTGTTTACACTAACTCGCTTGTTAGTTAATATTTGTTGATGCTTTGGCAGCCTGTTATTCTGAAGGAGAGTTCTTTCAGTGCCAATAAGCCGTCATAAAGCTGCAACTCATGTGTGAAAATCTTAGTCTCAACAAAGTCATTCATGCCACGGCTCTTCAGGCTGGTTTGGGAGGGACACAGGGATCAGAGAGTGGGGTTCACTGATGGTCACATGCAACGACTCATCACCCCCTGTGCCCATGTCGTCACATGGAGTGTGGCTCCCTCATAAGCCAAGGCTTAGTCTGTGTTTGCACAAGAATTTGTTGAGAGTGCACTCAAGAAAGAGAAAAAACTTCTACCTAGCCAATGGATGGTGCTTGACTCTTTTAACACCTTTTCCATTTCAAAAACACTAGGTTTAGCTGAAGGAGACTAGTGATTGCTTAACAGGTGAACGTGCAAAGCATTCAACACGTCATCTAATATAGCCTTATTTACAGCAAAATCATTTTCAACTGTTACCACTACTGTAACGTTACCATATTTAAATTTAAAAATCAATCCACAAACCAACAATGTGGGTAATTTTTCATGAAAGGCCCTGACAATGGTCTGTGTACGGTGTCATATGTGACCAAACCTGTTTCCAGGTACGGGCTGTTCCATTTGATTATAGGCTGATTAGGCAGAGAACATGTTGATGTCACAGCTCTCCTTTTTACCAAAACCACTCACAACACATTTATTGTGAATAATATGGAGTTTATTGCAATGTGAAATTGTCATATTAGAGTGAGGGAAAGAAAGAGTTAAATAAACAAATCTAAGACTGAAATTAGTTTACTGTTACAAAAGCATCCTACAGAGGTCAGTATTGAACTTGTAACTGTAAATCATCTTGTTTCTGTTCTTTTAGATTTGAGGCAATAGTCCTATCTACAGAAAGAAGGAAATTTCCTGTTCGAATATATGCAATATTTATACTCCGCACATACACATATATGCCCAACCACACAAGTCATGTTTGCGTAATGTAATTTTTTTGACTTAGTTTGGGTTTAAAGAATGTCATATTAAAACTCTATCTAAACATTTATTGTTTATATAAAATATAGAAGTTGATTTACCAAACTAAACATTTAGACTAAAACTAAAACACATTCCTCTGGATTAAACTACGAGTTTCAGGCGAGAGCTGTTAGCAGAGCGAGAAACGTCGACAATTAATGTTCATCTTTGTGACACCAATAAGTCTCAGGGGGGCTGAGAGGCCGAGGCCTGGAGTCACAGGGCATTCGCAGAGCAGGTCTGACAACTCGTCTCGCTCTTCCATGCCAAAGGTGGCATCGTTGAGCATCCTGCGGTGCTGGTGACACGTCTGTTCGATCTTTAGCTTATTGATGTCGCTCCGGAGCCGCATGAGCTGCCTGGCCAGCTGCTGGTCTTGCAAACGCATGTCAGTCTGCAAAAAAAATGACTAGTTTACATTAAATTAAAACTACAAAAAGTACATGTACACATTCAAAGTGAAGATAATCTCTCATGCCCTGTGTCTTTGTGTCAAACGTGCGTGACCACATACTGTGCTCTGTCTTGTTGTGCCTCTTTGCGTGCTCTGCTCGATTACATGAACCGTGGCTAAATGTGAGCAGAGCTAACTGATTGGAGCGGATTAGACAAACTGTGTAACAAACATGTGACACTCGTGTCAGAGACCTAATCGATCCCGCTCACTGATGTGAGTGGGATTCCTCTGTGGATTCCACAGTGGCAGATATAACGGTGTTCTGTATGAGAGGTGGGGTCTCACCAGTTCTCTCCTGAGCCAGCTGAGAGCTTCATCAATGTTCCCAAATCCGTTCAGCACACCTGATGGCGCCCCATCGCAGTTTACTGCACCCTCTCTGGTTGGCACTGATTCCCCTTCACTCTTGGCCTGTACTGGACTTTGTCCAGTCCCTGTCTGTCCCCTGAAGCTGTCCGCCTCCACCCGGGCTTTCCATTCCAGATAAGACGGCCTCCTGGTCTCCAGTCTCAACTTCTCTGTCAGGGCTTTCAGGGTCATCAGATGGTCATCTGCTGGCAGTTGCTCATCCTCTTTACCCTCTGCTTCTTCTGAGGCATCATCTGTGTCAGCCTTGATGTTATGAGACAAGTGGTGGTCCATGATAAATCTACTGCGTAGATGATAAAAAGCATATGACATAATTTATGACAAACAAAAAAAAATAGTATTTTTGGATTGAACATGACTTGTTTTGAAAAATGTATTTTTACTGCATATGTGCTGAGAATAAAACAATATTAACGCAAATAGATTAAGATGCAGCAGTCAGAGAATACAACACAACCTTTGTTTGATTAAACGTGGACCAGTGGTTTCCCTGGCAACCACACACTCACTGTAAACGAATCAGCAACTTTCCATATCCTGTCCTGGGCTCTGATTGCCTGCTGCAGACCTGAAGTGACAGACGCCTGGCAGTGGAGGCAACGCGACTGTTCTCACACTTTCACACATGCGTTTATTTTCACAGCACAAATATACTGAATATTTGATGGAGAACTGAACTCCAGAGAATTATTACAGCTTTACTTTAGCTTAGCTTACATCTAGTACTTTATAAGAAATGAATGCATCGCTGCATGACATATGATTTTACCATATTTGACACTTTTTTGTCAGTTTTTCTTTTCACTTCAGCTTCTCAATCCCTAACATAGTTTTCTACCTTTTCTAGTTTTTAATTCCTTGCCACTTTAAGACATGGCCATTGTCTCAAAAACACAATGCTGTGTGTATTCCCTTACACTCTTCCTGCTCGCTTTTTGTCTATTGGTAACTGAGTGTTATCACAAAGACTTTGTTCACCTTTCAAACCTGGATGGTGTGAATCAACACTTTTACTTCTTTCATAGCTGAAAATCTAATATTTGTTAACAAAATCCTACATCTGTCTGGCCCGTACCAACTTTCTGCGCAACCTGAAAAGAAACGCAGTTATAAAAACCACAAATATCATCCTGGAGGTGCTTATGGAAAAGTTGAAAGAATTATGTGGCCTTACCATTTTACAAGGACTCGCACTTCATCTTCGGTGCAGCCCTTTAAATGATACAGCAAACGCACACTTATTGGCCAACCGTGGTGGCACACAGAGACTTGGAGCCAAGTGTCTTCTTACAAAGTCCTTAAGCACTCAATATGTGGTTAGCCCTCACTTATTCCATAATGGCTAGAGCAGTGCAGTGGTGAGGTCATTGCCCTTGTTTCTAATGATAGGCTTGGCTGTTCTGCAAGGTAAAACGGACCTCTGGCTGTGCGGAGTCGCTGACTTGTGAACGAGCAGGAATAGAACCTCAATGTCTTTCTATAATTGTTGGCTGAGACCACAACGTTAAAGGACACAGTTAAAGAACATCTACAGCTACATTGATTTGTGAAGAGCCAGGCTGTGGGAACAGAGAAAGATTGGTTTAACTGTAAAAAAAACCCAGCTACTGTGGAGAGCTGAGCAGTTTAAAAAGACGAGTAAGCAAATATTATATAACAACCACAGTTACAGGAAAATAATAGAGTCCATTTAAACCATTCTTGTGTTGGCTACTGAACCAAGTGTTGTACAGTATGAGGCACTTTTGTTGTATCAACTACTTGAATGGAGCAGCAGGAAATCATCTCTGGAAAAGCCAAAATGTATATCCAGAATATTAAGTGAGGGCTGGGAACAGTACAAGAAGAAAAACTGTGATTTTCAAGAGAAAATATTGTTAATCTGTCTTGTGTGCTTTGCTTTCAAGTCTGCATAATTTTTTTCTCGACACCAATAAAACGTATTTTATGGTGTTGGAATATTAGAAGTCAGAAACCTCATCTGGCCCGGAGGCTAAGGAAGTCTGGAACTCTGACCAGGACTTGTCTAGATGACAAACATGTCTGTGGAGGAACCAATCAGGCGTTGTTCTCCCATCATCTGATGTATGGTATAACACCACCTGCCTCTAAGCCACGACGTCTGATTCAGAGGTGTTGGATTTTGAGCTGCAGTGTTGGAACGTGATACGTGAGAATATGAAGGTTTTCTATAGAAATCACAAACAGGATCAGGGATTTACACTCTGACAGAGATATCAGTCTGTGGAAACACAGCAGCCATTCATTAGGATTCCTGCAGTACAGCGAACTTTTAATATGTCTAAGACATATTAAACACCCTTTTCCTATTATTATTTTTCTTAACATTTCAAGTGGTGTTTCATCCGAAAAATCCTTTGTAGATTTTTTTCTTTTTTAATCTAATCTAAGTACCAAACTAGAGATCATTTAAAAGGTTCTTTCAGTTTTTGAGAAAGAAAAAAAATTGTTCCGCTTGCTCTGATTTAAAAATTGATGGAAAAACAAATTAAATACCTGATTTCAAAATTGATGGAAAAACAAATTAAATACGTTAACAAACTGAGTGAGTCACAGTACATCCGTCTTTTGACACATGTTGCAGTCGGTGAGTCACAGTACATCCGTCTTTTGACGCTAAAACTTTTCAACCCATTTTTTCAATGGTGAACCAAACAATGTCTGAAGCTGTAGTTTTAAATACAGTCTTTTATTTTATTATACATGTTGTTTTTACCCAGTTACTGGAGTTTTTCTAAGGGTCCTTTTTTGTCTTTCTCATATCAAAACTGTCTGTTATGAACTTGAAATAAAATGACTTGTCCTGGAGCAGCTACTGACATTGAACCAAACTGCGTGTAGTTTTATTTACCTTAATAAGACTCTCCCCAGCGGTGATCAGACGCGTCATCAGCTCATTAGGACCACGATTGAAAACATCTGGCGCTCCTACAAACACAGTAACGTTATCATCACCGTCATCGCCATCCTCGTCACACTGCGCGGCTCCAACACGGTCAACTTGTTTTTGAGCAGAGGGCAGCCCTCCTACTGGAGGAGGAGGAGGAGCGGGGAGGATGTGACAGATTCTGGTTGCCTGGAGAACAGGAATCTCCACCAGGGCGTCAAACTTACTGCAAGTGCGCCACGGTCTGACGGAGGTGCGAACTTTCACTTTTACTACCAAGTGCTTTAATAAGTGCAGGCAACAATACAGTTTGAACAGAAAATGTCATCTGTTAGAGTCAGGTTTCTTATCTTTTTCACAGTTGTATTTTTCAACCAAGGCTGCAAAAAAAGTCATTTGAATTTGTGTCCCTGTTATGACAAACGTGACTAAGTCCAGTAAAAGCCTGTATCTAATCACGCAAAAAAGCATGTAGAAGAATGTGTTATGGCCTGACAAGCAATGGGTTGAACTTTTTGACCCTTTTTGACGTTTATCCTGAAAACAAATTTTAAATTGATATGTAAAAATAGAAATATGTTAAAATAGAATATAGTCAATTCAACAAAAACAGATTTAACACATTGATTTTATTGAGTACATATTTCTCATAAGAAAATTACTATATAATATACACATATTTCATGACAAAAACAAATAAATACAAAACTACACAAAACAGATATCTAAAAAAATATATACAAATACTAATTTTACGGCCTACTGCACAAGTGTGGTACAACCCGCTCTATGAAAACAAAAGCATCACTAATATTACAGGCTAAATACAGACTAAATAGACACAGATCAACTTGGGAGATTTTAGTCTATTTATTTCAATGCTTTGGGCTTCACAAGTAGCATAGCAACTAGTGGTAATATCTCTGTGTTGATTGTCTGGCATTAAAGTAACATACTGTATCAGTGCAGGAGATAAGGGCCCTGAAATACTTCAGGGAACATTGTGTATTCTTTTAGTGGGCAATAAAATCAATATCGTTGATGCTGATTCTTTAAATACAAATGACAGTTTTAAACATAAACGCCTAAATACAGAGAACTGAGCTCATCAATATGTTGTTATTTGAGATAATTTAACATCTAGGTCATGTCAATATAATAAATAAAATGGCAAAAAAAAATGTAATAGTGCTGCAGTAATTTGTAATATTGCATAAATGCCATAAAGCATAAATACAGTTGTTCACAAAAAGGGGTCTGGCCCCTCTGAGTGGGCACAGATCTATTATAGGGGGCCAGAGCAAGGGGCATTCATTTCAATGGTTTCTTTTAGTAATTTTATTTATTTTGATCAAAGGATGTGTAGGGATTACTGTGTTTAAATAAAGTTCAGTAGAGTTTTAACACAATACCTCGCAGGAGGGGCAATCTGGACAAATAGTCCTATCTACAAAAGGGGGCGCTGTGAGAAAAAGTTTGTAAACAACTGCAAAAGTACATAATTTGCTAATTGTTGTCTGGGATAAATACTAAGGTTTGGCTGCTGATAATAGAGATCAGATGATAGTTTTATACATAACACAAACAATATGATTACAATTATTACAAAAAGGAGAAAATCTAAACTGAGACCCGTAAACATTTTGCTTAACACCATGTTCATTTGGACCGTCTGTTGACACAATTAAGGTGCAGACCATGCTGTGTATTCCCTGTGAATTACCTTCCTGTGTCTCTTTTGTATGAAACAACCGTGTTGCTTACTTTAACCCTTATAACTAATTTTACTTTCATAACCTCAGCTCCTCTATTTCATCGTCAAACGAGGGGATGGCACGGACAGCTGTTCTGCTCTCTGCCACATGGAGGATGTTCAGAGAGGATGGAGGAGGGCTGGGAGCAGCGTTGAAGCTCATCAGACCGTCTCCTCTTGAACGGACATTGTTGGCAGGTGAAGGACTGCTGAGAAGCTCCAGTTTATTGCACGTGCTTGAATTGTCACCAGCAGGTGTAGCCACCGCACCAAACAGTTGGTGAATGAGGTTCGACTTCTTGTCCTTGGCCATTTCCTTTTTCATGTAAATTTCTTTTTCTGTCTCCACTCCCCGGATGCTGAACACACCAATTGCTTCTAAGGCAGAATTCCGCTCCTCCTTGTGAGGCGGTGGAGGCAAATCAGAAGAACCTCTGGGCGATGAATTTCCAAAAGAAGGTGCGTAGCTTCCAAATGCCAAATCTTCATTGGAAAGTGTACCGAGTGTTTTCCTGCCCATTCCTGATCTCTTCCTTCCACGCTCAGCACTTCCATCACCGGGGACCAGGTTGGTGGACTCCTCTGCTGATGTGAGAGTGAAAATCGAGGAGTGCTGGTTCTTCTGCTGCTGTGGACGGGGTGAGGAATGTTCACTGGTGCTTTTGGAAGAGTCAGAAGACTCTGTGAACACTGAGTCCTGGCCTCCCTGGCTTTGACGATCTATTTCGTGCATCTTGGCCAGCAGCTGCTCTTTCTTATGATGTGTTTCCTCTGAAATTGCAGTATCTTTCTCCCAGACTGTGGAGACAGCAGGAGTTAGCTTTAAAGGTCACACATTATGCTAGTTATGCTAATTATTATGGTTCCCTTATTTCTGAAACTAAACGCAAGAAACTTTGGTAAAAAAAACAAGACTGTGCAGAGTCTGATTCTTTAAACACAGACAGGGGGCAGACTATCCAGAGACGTGTATCAAAACTTTCAATTTCTTAAAGGCATAATTGACTTACGTTCTCTCTGACTGCTCATCTTCTCTTCATGAGTGTCGACACTCCTTTTCCTCATCTTTTGATGTTCCCCATTTTGATGTCCAACTTTAGACTCTGCCGGTCTGTTCACTCCGTCAAGCTCCTGTTGCAAAACAGTTACAAGACATGAGAGAGGACTTGTAAAACCAGAAGTACTGATACAGTGAGTGTAAATTCACACTCACCTTAAGTGACAGGTATTCATCAGGCCTCTGTTCATGGTAGTCAGGGGCATCAGCGAGGGCAGGTGGAGGCGTGGGAAAACCCAGACTAGAGGATCTGTCGTCAGTCTGTATAGCCTTGCTGCAGTTCTTGCTTGGAAGTTTTTCTGTTCAAATAAGCAAAGTAACAATAGTGTGAACACACTGGAACCATATAACTTTGTTAGGTATTTTTGTTTAAGTAAAACATGAAAATGAGAGGATGCAGCGGACACTCAAAACCCAGAAGAAAAACCACTTTCTGATGTGCAAACTTTATATTTATTTTACCCTTAGTTTTACTGACACTGTTGTCGCTTGAACACTTTTTTTTTAGTTTAATACAGAAATATTTGCTTTAAATATTTTTCTGTTAATGAGAAGGAAATACAACTGACATTTCCCTGTTTGGTGTCTTCACTGTGGTGTTCACATTTCACCCACAGAGCAGTGCAACCTACACAACACTGTCTTGACCCGTGAGCACACAAATTAAAGTACTTGTATACAACAGATAATATTTTTATTACGCTTCTAAGATGCAAATATCGTTTTGTTCAAAGGAACTACAACGATTAGGATTTTTGCTTTACCTTTTTGCTTCACGATGCCGTCAGTATCTTTTTTCAGTGGAGGTTTCAACAAGCGGTTGGCATAAATGTTCTTTGCCTCCAGTTCTTTTTCTTTTTCCTATTAAGAAGTACAAAATAAAATTTACTAGCAAGAGCGATGTAGAAAAGTGTGCTTCAGTGATTTCTCTTTGCTAAAGCATCTGTACTTTAATTTTATTGTTTAATCGTTCCAGCTGCTCCTTCAGGGTCTTGATCTCCTCCTGGGCATTGACCGTCTTCTTCTTCTCTGCAGCCAGGTACCTCTGGAAGCTGTTGTTGCTCAGCTGTATGCTATGCTCCAGCTCCTTCACAAACACAAAACTAACTTGGTTAGTTGTTGTAATAGTGTGAGCTTAAACCTCAGCACTTGGACTATAAACATACTTTAACTTTGTGTTCTGCCTCTTCAGCTCGTGCCTGCTCCTCCTCGAGCCTGCGACTCAGCTCCTCCTTGGCTCCTAACTCCCGCTGGTTGACCAGTTTCTTTAGACGCATGACTGTGGCCTGACTTCTTTGCAGCTGCTCCTCGCTGTACTTCAGCCTCCTCTCGGTTGCCCGTTCACGATCCTGCGTCCGCCTGAGCCGCTCACGCAGCACGTGGGTCTCGCTTGAATGTCGAGTCAGCAGCTGGGAAATCTCGCTTTCAGTGTCATCATATCGCTGCAGGGCCTTCTCCTGACGGAATTGAAGCTGTGGGCAAAAAGGAAGCACATTTTTCTTTACAACGCCACAGGTAAGGAGTATTTAACAAAAACAAACAAATACATAACGCCTACATGTTTGAGGGTTCGATTCTCTTTCTGCAGTTCGTCAGTGCGGTGCTGCAGCTCAGCCAGGGCGTTACGCAGCTCATTGATCTTGAGCAGGCGGCCTGAAAGCATCCTCTTAGTCACTAGATCCAAGTCTCTAGGAGGTGTGGAATCCTTACTTTGTGACCTCGCTCCTTTGCGTTGCTGCTGGGTCAAGGATCGGCCACCGCGACACATGGGACGGATCATACCCTTGTGCCCCATACCACCTGTGGCAAGAAAACCTGTGTTGATTGCTACACAAAATTTACAATGGTTTACTGTATGATGTGTCTACAAAACTATGAAGCTATGTGTGTTTCATGGATTTCATGGACTTATTTGATAAGATTCAATCTCTACACACCTGTCTTGGAGGGTGGGCTGGCTGAACTAGTCTTTGGCCGAATCCCCTTTTTTGGAGTGGGTGATGTCGTCCTAGATCGTGTGTATGGTGACAGTGAACGGTCTGAATGAGAGCCATTCTCATAGTCATCTGAGTAATAAGAGCCACTGCCTCTGCGACCCTCTTCATCTGATATTTGGTCCTTGTCAGGATCTGAATTCCAGTTCCTTGTTTTCGATCTTCTCTCTTCACAGTTGCCCTTTTCTTCTTCATCTTGGATCTTTTCTGAAAAGTTTCTCTTGTGTTTGCGGGAGGACGACAATCGAGGATCTGCCTTTCTGCTGCGGGAAGATCGTCGACTACCATTCTGGCTGTCTTTGTCATGATCTGTAGCATGATCAGAATCCATGTTGTCACTTTGAGAGGAGTTGCTGTGGAATTTGGACACATAAAATCAGATTCTGAGACACATGTTTCATGAGTATGGGTGACATTTGCCAAAAAGATGGTTGGTGGCGCTTTTAAAAGCACTTGACATTTGTCATGTTGCATTACTTCACCTGTTATTATTCAAGCTATCGCCTTTGATGTGTATGACAGCTTAGCAATCAAAGGCAGATGAGAAGGATGTGGAGAGCCGTGTCAGAAACTGTAAATGAGCCATGACCTGTTGTTATGCAAAAAAATAAATCACCGAAGCATTATGTTTTTAATATACATGACACAAAGAATAATAAATGACAAAAATAGACTCAGTCTGTTCAATCCTTGATTTCAACTGATGCTTTACTGTAGTAACTTTGCATGTTCCAATTTCCTCCCACAGTCCAAAAACATGCAGATGTTCACTCTAAATAAAATGTCTATTTACAAAGATAAGAAGGAGTGCACCAGAAGATAGAATGTTAAAATCAGCACAGCAGAAATTACCTAGAGTTACTGTAGTTTCTCACTTACCAAATATCCAACAGCTGGCATTTATAATTTTAGCATTAGCACTGATAACCACTTCATGTAGGCCCTTTGGTTTCTGTGCAGTCACTGCATATGTATTATGTATCTCGGTCTTTAGGTGACAACATGGGCTAGAATTTTCCATGGGGCTGATAAATGTATTGTATGACTTGTCTACAGAGCTGTTGCTAGGATTGAGGGATTTACCATACGAAAACGAATAGATTATAATTACTTGACCACTGTAACATAAAACCACATACACATTTTCAACAAACAATTTCATCCAATGTGTTTGTGTATTTATCAGCATAAATAATGCATAGATATGTTTAATATTTTGTAGAATACCGCTGACTAAGTATTCCTGTAAACCTCTGTCTTAAAAAAGAACGAAGAAGAAAGAAAAATATGAGAAGCAAACACTTGAGAAAGCCTTACATGAGAAGTGATTATGCATGACAGTTTCTATGCTGAATAGATGTTGAGGTCATACTCTCCTATGGACACTTTAACAAGCCACTTGATGTCACTATGGCAACAGCTCCCCTTAGTCTGCTTCACCAAAAATAAAAGTGAATGGGTATTATAGCGGTCAAAAAAAGAGAAGTGAAATTGGATTTTTTTCAAAAATGATTATTTACAAGAAGCATCATATTCATGAATGGTTTTAAAACCGCTGAAAAAGAACTGACTGATCTTTGCTTATACATTTTGACAGTTGAAGGAGATTTCCAGGTGCTTTATTTATGGTTGAATAACGTTGCTTTGCATGTTAAGCATATGTTTTAATGGTAGCTTGAAACACCAGTACACCTAACAAGACAAGATAAAACTGACAATTCTCATCACAAGGTTGTTACAAATATATACAACACAGTTAAACGTGAATCCGTTCATATGATAATTTAATTGTATTATTTTCTATTTGGATTTTGGTAGAATTTTCTGTTTTCCTCATCAAATCTGAACATTTGACTTAATCAAAAATTGCCAGCAAAATATATGTTGTTGACAGTAACAAACAACTTGTACTATAAGCGTATGTACTACTATTCATATCGTAATATTGACACTATCAGACAAAAAATAATAAAAATAATAATAAAAAAAGAATAACAAAAATATCAATGTACTCACTGTGTTCCTGTCGCTTTTGTTGTGATTTTTTTCTTGGTTGTCTCCAGGATCCTGGTTCCCACTATCTTTCTCTGCACCTGAGGCACGATCTCTACACAACACAAACCCTGGTCATTTATTATTAGCGGTTGTTACAGAGGAAGTAGTACTTGAGCTGCTCCTTTTCTTCTGTCAACAACAGCTTGGATTAAAATAGATCATCTGCTGTTGTCGACAGCCACATCACTAGTCGTTGTCAAATCCCTTTTTCCATAAAAAGTGCAGAATAAACCAATTTCGTATGTGCAATACAAAAATCTAGAGTTTTCCCAAAGGAATACAATAAATCAAATAAATCAAATAAAATAGCTTCAGATTGACGTCTCTCGACGCTATCAAACAACCAAAACTAATGCTAACGAACTGTCATCAACAGGTGGGCTGTATTTTAACTTTACTGCCCAGAAACTTCTGGCAACTATCATAAAGTGAAGTTGGTAGGTTGGATGGTATTGCTTAATTCGTTTAGTTTTTGTTTCGCGATTTCAACACAAGTTTAATGTTAGAAGACTATTCTCCAACGTTAGCTTTTAGCCACGCTAACTAGCTGAACTTTAGCAAAGCTAAGCTGTTCTCAATGCTGACATAATCATACATTTCGCTGCGTGATCTATCGACCTGAAACTGGATATAGAAAGAATAACATAAAAACACAAAACAGTGGGCTGTTGATTTGATTTCACAAATACCTTGTTTTGCTTTTTAGTCCACGCCTTAATAGGGTTTACAAAAGTCTAGTCGATGACGCCTTACCATGGCAACCACAGTACCTTGTGCACTGACACTTATCTACCAGAGGATGCGCTGCAGAGCTTGTTGTCGATTTTGTTCAGTTTAGGGATTATAGCGCCGGCATGTGTACAAAAAGGGGATTGCGATGATACCAACATAAATTATGAAACAATTTATCTGAAATACAAATAAGGATAAATTAAAATACATAAATAATTTTATACTTTGTTTATTTACACATTTCAAAAAATCGATTAAGGTAACTGGAAAATACAATGAAAACACGTTTTTTTGTGTTGGGGCACCATGGATGCTAACAGTTTACAACCTTCAGTCAAGAAAGTTCCTATTTTATTGCAATTAATATTGTGCATACACTTACACAAAAATTATAAATATAAATATAAAACTTTATATTTTAAAAGTTAACTGTGGCACACCAATTTTGTTGCTGGAGGTGCTGCAAAATTGACAAAGCATTTATTTGAGGTCAAACGAATGTCTATTCTTTCATTGTTCCTAGACCAAAAGAATTTCTGTATTTAAGACAAAATATCCACCATTTTGTCTTAAATACAGAAACTGCCATTTGACTTAATTTGAGACCGAGATGGGATGTTACACGTTTATTTATTTTGTATGCAGTTAAAACCAAATCGGGGAAAATTGAATAAAATCAGTTTTATAACGTGGGCGCAACAAGTGTTTGTTATTGTGAAAAGTTCTCGGCGGAAGTCCAGTGTTCAAGTGCGTGTGTGTGTGCGCGCAGCATAAGTGAGGGTAGAAGCTGAGCTTCACTGGTCAGCAGCTACAGCAGCAGTTGCTTCTACTTCATCACCACCATCATCATCATAATTACGACCATGGCTTAGGTTAAATACTGTAGACGCACGTCTTTTCACGTCAAGTAGTAGTCGAATAATCGCTGCAACCGAACGCTTTGATCGCTTGATGTCGTGACATTTACCTTTAAAATCAAAATGGTTATCAGGGTTTACATCGCCTCATCTACTCCATCTGTCGCGGTGAGTGTTTATTGCAATGTGTTTGTTGACAGGTGTGTGAGTTGGCAATACAACAACGCTGTGCACGCTACAAACAGTTTAATTTGTCGATTAACCTTCCTGTTGATCTTGTATTTGGAAATCTGTTATTGTTTTGGTAGCAGTCGCATCAAATAAACTGACAACAGAACTCTTTCTACTGAACGGCCACCACCAGACATGCTTTCTTTTACTCCGGTTTTGTAGTATTAAAAAAAAGTATAGCATGTTGTAATAGATTGCAAAAAACTTATTTTTTGGAAACGAGTTGTATAACAATGTCAGAATAAAGGAAAGTATCAAAATTAATCAAAAAGTGTAACATTTTACTCATTCTGATAATTTATTAGTGACTTTTTGTGGTCCTTGCTCTAGTTAGAGAGTTAATCCAGAATCGCGGATTTAGTAGTTGGCTCTTGTGCATTTTTAAATATTGACCAAATAAGCTGTTTTCATTCTACATTATTATTTTTATTTTTTTATTTCATTATACAAGTGTTTGCCAATTGTCATGACAGATATACGCAGCATCCATGCTGTGCGTTAGATAACTTAGCTTTAAACTTTAGTTACACGGACATTAAACAATAGCGAAATCATTAAAGGTTGAGATAAAAACTTTTTTGAATCAGTATAAACATTTTACCATCATTATTTTAATTGTTTAATTTGGTTTTTAGCGTAGGGACACATTTTATGATGAAATCTTGTCAGGTAATGCGGCCGGTTGTTCGCACATATGTTTTCTCCCTCGAGTAGCTTAAACGTGCAACTTCACTCATCAACAAGTTCCCGCCAAACCATCGATGACTTCCGCGGACGTGAGTGAGAGCAGGCTTTGTATGAGCAATTGAAGACTGTATATCTGTTTCCGACCACGTCCGCTTATGTCTATTGCTTGCATCTCACGCCCTTTACTGTCTGAACAGGGCAGTTGCATTCATCAACAACCAATCGTTGACGTGCAATTGCACATCAGTTGTTCGGTTTAGCTCCGCCCACAACTAGGTCTGGCCAATAGGTTTTTGTCCACTTGTGGCTCAAACGCAGTTTCACTCATCAACAAATTACCGCCAAAACATGTATGACTGCGCGGACGTGGGTGAGAGCAGGCTGTGTATGAGCGATTGAAGACTGTGTATCTGTTTCCAACCACGTCCGCGTATATCTGTTATTTGCATCTCACGTACTGTACTGTCTGAACAGGGCAATTGCATTCATCAACAACCAATCGTTGACGTGCAATTGCACATCAGTTGCGATTGCTCCCTTTCGTCAGTAAAGGGCCTGATGTGATGGGACAAACTTATGGCCGGAACTTGTTGTTGGTGGATCTAAACCGAACCACCGACCGCATTACTAGACAAGATTTCATCATAAAATGTTTTCCTACGATAAACTGCCCTTGTGGAACATGAGTAGAATAGATATCTTTCTATAGTAATCCGCTACCGTACAGCGTGAATGCTGCGTTTATACCTCGCCATGACGTTTGCCAAACGCTTGTAGAGTGGCAGTAGACGGCGAGATTCAGCAGAAAATAAAATTATAAAATAAAAACAGTTTATTTGGTCAAATTGGGGAAACAATACTGAGCCTTGAATACATGGATGTTCTTTGTGGACCGCCCTGCTGCCAAGCAACAACATCAACATATTATTATTATAATACTTGATGTTTTAATAAAAAATGTGTTATGTGGGCTGTAACATATTGTAAATGTTTAGGCAAAGAAAGCTTATTGAGTTTGTTTGTTGGAATTGAGCTATGAAAATACATGTTACACAACATTAGTAGCTCTTAGCCATTTTTATTTTGTAAAAGTAGCTCTTGGAGAACAAAAGGTTGGAGACCCTTTTGCTTTTTCTACTTACCCCTGACATATAGTATGCAGAACTGCTTTTAGAATAGTGATTTATTATTATTAATACATTTCCATATTCAAAACTATCATAGTCGGTCAGAACTATCATAGTTGGTCAATTAATTAATCACTGTGAATATAATAGCAATATTTTAGCATAGTTAGGAATATTTGAATTTAATACATGAGATAAATCATTAACAGTGTTAATGGGAATATAGGAATATTTGAATTTAATAGATGAGATAAATCATTAACAGTGTTAATGTTTCCCTTAATTGTCACTAAAAAGATATAAAATATAAATCGGTGGCTGTCCTTCACACACACACACACACACACACACACACACACACACTCGTATACACAGTATGCAGCTAGTACAGCCTGAACTTTTCTGGAGAGATAACATTAATTTATTTCAGTTTAGCAGATGGGACATCAGGTAAAGAAACTCAGTGTCTGTGCATGAACTCCTCTTTTTATGTTTCTGGATTTGGGGAGTGTTTGAAAGTTTCAAGAGGTTTGCTGCACACAATTAATTTGTGTTTGTTGACATTCCTGTAAACTATGGAACAGTAATAATCACTTAGAAGGGCATAGATTACAAAATCAGTGACGCAGTTCAGGGTTGAGAATTCCTCCTGGGGGAGAGAGAGAGAGAGAGAGAGAGAGAGAGAGAGAGAGAGAGAGGGAGATGGTTCAGATGATATGAGTTGAAGCTTAAAATCATTAAGCAACGCTCTCTCATGAATACTAAAAGTCTTAGGTAATGGCACAAATGAGTAATATATTTATTTAAACGTGTTTCTTCTCGGTGTAAGAGGGCAGAAGAATGACTCAGGGTTTACAAAAGAGTTATTTTTGTCTCATAAGTTCAAAACACTGGATCACTCTGTGTAACAAGCAGTCATGTATGCTTGAAGAGGTCCAACATTTAGGTCAGCTATGCTAGTGCCGGGCCCATGTGAGTGTTCTTCAGTTGGAATTGAGTTACAATAGATTGAATAATGATGCGTGGAGAGGATGGGACAGGTTTTTAAGTAAACGGGTCGTTCTGCAGAACATACAACAGAAACGCTTAAGTAGGTGTTCCCTTTGGCAACTGTGCAAAATATGAACTAATGAAATGAATAAACAATAGTAACTGTAAGATTAACAATTGTCGTTGTATGTCTCTCTTAGCACAAAAGAACATTTTAATGCAAAAATGCCATAAATGTATAAACTATAAAAACAGTAACTGTAAAACTGTTAGCACAGTAAAGACAGAGAAAGGAAAGTGGTCGACAATGTGTGCAGGAATCTGGAAAACAGAACAGTTCAAGTGCAAGCTGCAGGAATGTGAGCAGATTAGTGGTGCGTAAATCATCATCACAGAGAACGTTTGAGGGAGTGATGCAAATAAGGAGATTCTCCACTGTGAACAGTCACCCATTTCTGATGTTGTGTTAAAAGAGCAACTGTTGTTACTGATGTTGTTGGGTTAAATACGAGCAAGTTACTGCACCAACACTAACCTGGTCAACCATTTAACAAGAATAACATAAATACTAAATAAAAAGTCTCTGTGTCCCTCAGTGATGTCCTGAGGTCATTGTTCTAACCATGATATAATACCTGCATTAAAAATGGTGTAAAAGCAAACACTCTTAGAAACTGTAACGTCGCCATATTTACTGTTTTAATCCTACACGCACACACGCCCCTGCTGTTTGATGGTAGATGATAATGTCGAGCTTCACAAGTCTGTATTTAAAGTGTTTCCCTCTCAGTTGTGAGTTTGAAAACACACTGTCCACAGCTGGGAAACATTTGAATTGTGTCTAATGTGCATTTACGACTCACCGTGGGAGAGTTTCTGAATTCTAAAATTAGCTTTAGAAAAAGAAATTCCCCAATTTCACCATATACGGTACCACACACACTTACACACACAGGCATTAAATCCATGAGGACCCACTGTACTGTGAACTAACACGGAGGATTGATGAGTACGTGCCAAGGTTTACTACAAGGAATGTTGACTTAATATTCCTTAAATTCTTTAGGTAAATGGTATTTTAACTCACTTTTGCAAGTGCCCTTACTCTCCATTCCCTGCAGGGGGTGCTATGACAGTTGTAATGCCTAATTCTTAGAGTTGGTTTCACTGTTTCACAACTTTATGTTTTTAAATAAACCTATTTCTCCAAGTCAGCAAGTTGGACCAGAATCACAAATGTGTACAGTTTAGCTGCTCTGAAAACCAAGTTAAACCGAAAACTGATTTTTTTTCTTCCTCTTTTTTCATCTCTTGCATCCACTGCAGGTAAAAAAACACCAGCAGGATGTGGTGGGTTTCCTGGAGGCAAACCAAATTAGCTTCCAGGAAGTTGACATCACCATGCTGGAGGAGCAGAGGCTCTGGATGAACCAGAACATTCCACAGGAGAGGAGACCAAAGAGGGGTAACCCTCTGCCTCCACAGATCTTCAATGAGAATCACTACTGTGGGGTACGATGGGCAGCAGCTACTGTAATGTGGTGTACTACTCTGTGTACTTCTACTGTGATCCGTCCGTTGTAGGAATAGCCGATAAAAAGTTCAATCTATTGGATTGGAGTCTATGCCATCTACTGAGTTTACATGCAACAGTGTGATCTAATCATAATCCTGTTCTACGGACAAGGCGGATAATCTGTTTTACTTGCAGTTAGAATCACTAGCTGAGCTAATCCAACATTACTCTGAAATGTCCTGGTCACTGAGTCATAATAAGAGCAGTAGTGAAAGGAGTCGTCTTTAACACAGTTAACACATGTTCTGTAAGCAGCGTCACCATCAGCTGCTCTTCTCCCTCTCTCAGGCCTACGAAGACTTCTTTCAAGCAAAGGAGGACAACTCTGTTTTAGCATTCCTGGGACTCGGCTCCCAGTCTTCAGGGAAAAGTGAGTGTCAAGATACGTGGGTCAAGGAAACAGAGCTGAGTTCGCACCACACGGTCGATCAACTTCTCCAAAACTAGCTGCAACATAACTCCAGGATGCTGAATCAGCAGCACTGTAGGCGGTCCCTGAAATGTTATGAAACTAACGGCTGAACTGATACTTGATGTAGATTACTTCATCATACACGGTAGCAGATTATTACACTGACTGGTTGTACCTTCTCCATTACTTCCAGGACCCAGGGACACAGATCAAACTCCCTGATGGTGAGTGACATCCAGGCTATGACATCACATGAGGACACAAACAACATCACTTCCTGTGACATCTGTTGTTTTCTTATGACTGTTTGTGCCAAACCCTAACATGACTATATACTGTGGACTGTAGCACAGAAACATTATTTCTCTCTAAATAAACATATTGGTGTGAGTTGTTTCTTTTTTCCTGTGTATTTTCAGTGACTAGCGTTCTGTTGTAGCCACACTGCAGCAGCAGCGCTCACTGGAATACACTCCGACTTGTGTGTACACACACAGCCGGTTGTGTTTGTGTCAGCTTTCATCAGCACCTGTTAATAAGGCCTGAGCTCAGAGGCGGCACTTAATGGGATCTGAACAACCTGAGGTGGCGCTTTTATTATTGTACCTGTGCGTGTCTGTGCATGAGTGTGTGTTCATGATGGCTTCAGGGAAATACAGTGCTCTTCTAGATTCAATCACACTCACTCAGACTCACTTTGAAAGCTGGACCCGTTTAGTTTGAAACAATATACTCGCAGGAATTAAAAATAGGCACCTATTAAATCTGCTTAATCTTAAATCGGCTGCCACCTAGTGGGAGAATGCTATACCGTTTAATTGTTGAATGAAGACAGATTATTTGCAGTAAACAACATTTTTTAGACTAATAGACAAATAGACACACATTGTTAGAGGTCATTTCGTGCCACTTGGATACTGATATATTCTTTTACTTCATGTCTTTCCAAATACCCCAGTATTAATGCAACCAACATTCCTGTTTGTGTATCATTTACTGTCAGATTTCTCTGTAACAAAGCATTTGAAGTGATCATTGATGCTGTCTGTGGGTGGAGGCTTTTTCACAACAAAGACAATTAAAACACTACCTTTTCCTTGACCTCTTCATGTGTTTCACTGCTCCAGAAATGATACACACTGTTGTGTATTCGCCATCATATATAAAAAGTTAGTGTGTTTCTGCTCCTGTTTTGGTTTAAACAAAAAAAACACTTACGACACGTGGCTGATGTCACCATGCGTGATATGGTCACGCAAGCCGAGAAACAGCAACCCACAGTGGACCCCACCCAATCAGGCTGTTCTTAATTGGGCCTGCCAGCGTATTTGAAAAATTATTACAACTTCAGTTTAAAACCACAGTTGTAATTATAATGATAATTATTACGACAACTTGCGTAAGGTGGGGCGTCATTTCCCGTCAATAATGATGTGTACCTGTAATGATTAACCCTGCTGTCAATATGTACTTTACCTACTCTTCAAAGTCCCCGTGTCCTCTGATATTTAAAGAGCAGGGTGAGTGAAAACACGACGCCCCATCATGTCTCGCTCTTATAAGAACACCTCTTATTCCCAGAAAAAGTCTGTAGATTTTCTCAAAACCAAAATTTGAATTAATTGAATTCACTGTAGAACATCTTATGAAATGTAATTGAGGAAGTGTAATTGACCTCTTCCTTGTAACTGTAAGACCGGAGGTAGATAGGAAATAAGGAAATTCATTTGTATCAAAACAGATTGCTAAACCTTTGCCCAGTATGGAGAATGCTGAATTGACAAATCTGGCAACATCACGTGTTGGAAATGTTCCCTGTGATCTTAGGGCTCTGTATGAAAAGAAAGACGAGGCAAAACGACACTGACATGCAGTTAGAATCAAACCAACAACCTCTGTGACTGTAAGACAACAGTGCCTACCCTCCTTCAACCTACATTATAACCTGATAAACAAAATCAGAAAAAAATAAATATAAAACGAGCCTAACTGTGAGAAAAGCACAAATGTTGTCAGATTAACTACCAAATGTACTTATGTGAGAAAATATATATTTGAATGGAGCATAATGAATATACTTCTTGTAGCTGTAATACTAATACAAATGACATGAAGACAGGAAGTTGGACCGTTGACACAGTAATGTACTGGGAAAGAAATGAATTTTCTGTCAAGTCAGCCATTTGTTGGAGTGAAAATGTTTTTGACCACCCTGCACAGATTGCAGTCAGATCTGAAGCGCACAATACAAGCAGCCTGCGTGGTAAGGTAAGGAAATGATCACTAACATGTAGAACTTCACTTTTTACCACTGTGATTGTTTTTGCACATTAGAACAAGAAGCAAATATATAAGGCAATAAATTAAAATTTTAGAAATGAACAAAATAAAAGAATAAAGACAATTAAAACCAACTCCTTGACCTGGTTTCCCCTTTCATTTTTCTACAGTGGTTCAAATAAATTGTTCCTGTTCATGTAACAAGTCCAGATTTTTTGCAGGGAAGTGTGATTTTTTTTTAGGTGAAAATTCTTCTAATAATGTGGACTTTATGTAAACATGTGAACTTGTGAAAAGTATGGACATCTGTTTCCGTCCTCCGCCTTTAATGATTGATACGTATGTCAACAAGCATCCAGGTTGCAGTCCAAGTTCAGTCAGTGTCGTTTATTCAATCTCTGGATCTTATCAGGGGACTTCTGGGGGTTTTTTTTGGAATATTCGAATGGAACTGATTTTGTTTTGTGAGTTTATTTTAATATATGTTTGTCAAAGAAGTGTTAGAAGACGACTTAATCCCTTTTAAGTTTGTCTCATTCATTCAGCAATGTTTACAAAAGTAACATTTCCACTTTGCTTCTACCACAACAGGATTTGTATCAAAAGACACAAAATGGCTCCTGTTCCTGCAGTGAACCAACAGTTTGTGCTTTATTTGTCAATCGGTGCGTTTTCAAAATCAATTTCTTTCAGAGTTGTACCACACCTTCAAAAACAATGATGACAAAAAAAGGGAAGTGAGATTCTTTTTTTAACTTATCTTCTCTTTTATTTCATTAGGTCTGCTAAGTCTGCTGCTTCTTACAGGTCAGTTTTTTCATTGTATTTCTGTTGCTAAATCCACAGTACTGTAGCCCGACTGGCTGTGATTATGTTTGTCTTTTTCCGTGCGACAAGAGTGTGACAAAATCAAACTGAATGGGCCGTCACGTTGTTCTGGAAGAGTGGAAGTCTACCATGGAGATACCTGGGGCACGGTGTGTGACGATTACTGGAGCATGAACAACGCTGAGGTGCTGTGTCGTGAGTTAGGCTGTGGGACAGTTCTTGAGCTGAAAAAAGGTGGCTTTTTCGGTGAGGGGAATGGTGAGATTTGGTTGGACGATGTGCGGTGCACTGGTGAAGAGGCTTCCATTCTGAAGTGCGCACACAAGCCTTTAGGAGAACATAACTGTGGCCACTCTGAGGATGTCGGGGTCATTTGTTCAGGTAAGAAGAGCCCACTCAAATTGACTTGATTGGCTGAACACTGACTAGTCTGGCTCTGCTCCTGCAGAGTGGGGCTTTATGACTGGTGCCACATGTAAAGTCCATTTTTGATGTTGGCTTTCTGATGTGTTTTTATGTAAAGTATAAAAAATACAACAGAAACCAAATCTTTGAGACCAAAATCATTGCTCTATCACAGTTTTTCCCAACTTTTTTTGAGCCACGGCACTTATAAATCATCAGGAAAAGCCCCACGGCACACCACCGAACAGAAATCTCACAAAAGTATATGTAAAGAATAACATTCTAGTTTAAATGACCTCATAATTGAGTAAAATCTCGGCCTGTTTAGTTAAAGATAATATTAATATACTTGCAGGAATTGATGAAAGACACTCACAAGTTTGGAATCACATCATTTAAATCTGAACCCATGTCCATCACAGTACCACATTAAGCATTCCTCTGTTCATTATTGGGTGTAAAGGGTTTTGTTTCTGACATAATGATTTACAGACCTTTTAATTTTATATAATATTTGATTACATTTTAGTACCTTTGTTTTGGACTCTTGCTGTATATGTTTGGTTGGCAAGATGTTTGGTTTATATTGACATTGTTTGTCATGCATTATTTGCAGAACATTTGCGGGTGGTCAATGGGACCAATCGTTGTAACGGCAGAGTGGAGGTGTACAACAGTGGTAAGTGGAAACGAGTATGCAGCAGCGACTGGGACAAGACAGAAGCTGATGTTGTGTGCCAGGAAATTAACTGCGGCTATCAGGTCACTCATACCACACCTCAGTACTATGGAGATTCCAGAGAAGAACTTGCAGTCAAAATAAACTGCGCAGGGAACGAGAGCTCTGTGTCTCAATGCTCGTTTCAAGACTCGAAAGATAGCTGCATCGATGCAACTATTTTCTGTCAAAGTAAGTCATCTGTGAATTTATTGTACCACGTATCTTGGTTTAGCTCACTTTAATGAAAGCATCAGTAAATGTTTCCACTGCTGCTGACCCCGTGGTTCACTGCACAGTACATTTCAACAGATTTTTTGTTCTTTCACTTACAGACAGTAAAATAATTCGCCTCGTGAATGGAACAAGTAGCTGTTCTGGTCGAGTGGAAGTCTACCATAATGCAGAATGGGGGACAATTTGTGATGACAGGTGGGGGATACCTGAAGTGATCGTTGCATGTCATGAGATGAACTGTGGGAATCCAATTGCGGCCACATACAAATCTTTCTATGGCCAAGGTAAAGACCAGGTTTGGATGGATGATGTGGAATGCACCGGTCAAGAGAAGTCTCTTGCTGACTGCAGTCACAGAGGATTTGGGGAACACGACTGTGACCATAGTGAAGACGCGGGCATTACATGTTCAGGTAACACTTGGTTTGTTCTGTTCTGTCATCCTGAAGTCAGATTTTGTTACACTTTAAGATCCAAGATTTTGAAATCATGGAGCTACAATTTAAAACTACATCATAATCAAGCCAATGTGACCAATATTTACAGTCTTTTCCTGTGATACTGTCAAATATATCAGCTATCAGGAAAGAAAAATGAATGTTATTTTTTGAATCAAATCAAATACCTCTGGGCTTTAATACTGTAGAAAATGTGTCACATTTCAAGTATATTTTCATGAAATTAACTTTATGTCTCTTTTAAATTTCTAATGTTCCAGATGCTGTTAGATTGATTAATGGGACTGACCGGTGCTCTGGCCGACTGGAAGTTTTCTATAACGGCTATTGGGGCCCTGTTTGCAGTCACTCTTGGACCATTGAACAGGCTAAGGTGGTATGTGCGGAGATTGCTTGTGGGGCTCCAAAGAAAATTGAGGAAAGCCCGGACTATGGTAAAAGCAGTGGGAGAAGTTTTACAAGTCGATGCATTGGAAATGTGAGCTCCATCGCTGAGTGCCATCTCCAGGAATACTCTGGGAAATGTGAAGGAGTTTCCCTTTCATGTTCAGGTACAGAAACGCTGTAGTAGTCAATTAGCAGTCCATTTTTTTTTCCTCAACCAAATAGCATAATTCCACTTGTCCTTAGATGTGTCGCAAATGAGGCTTGTCAATGGCACCAACCGCTGCTCTGGCAGAGTGGAGATTATGCACAACAGTCAGTGGGGGACAGTGTGCGATGACGAGTGGAGCATCATGAATGCTCGCGTGGTGTGCAGAGTCATGGACTGTGGTACAGCTCAGACGGCCAAGTCCAACTCCTTTTTTGGTCCTGGTGATGGGGACATCTGGCTGGATGATGTTAAATGCTTAGGAAATGAATCCAGTCTCTTACACTGTGAGCATAACAAAATGGGAGAAAATAACTGTGGTCATCTTGAAGATGCTGGCGTGGTGTGTTCAGGTACACTTTATTTCTACCAGTTATTATTATCCTGTGTTCTTCACTTCTCCTTTTTATTTTCCCTCATTTTTACAACAATGGTTACTAAACAGTCAGCCCAATGAAAAAAAAAAGAATGTTCTTCCTGCATGGGCTGGAGTGACTCTTGCCTGCCACCTGCAGTTTGTCAGATGCAGATGATAAAAAAAGAGACATTATTACTATTATTATTGTTATTATTATTGACATTTGACATGAAAAAAGTGTAGTTTTGTGAGCTTAGTTTTGAGTAGAAAAGTCAAAGTAAAGCGTTTTCGGGAATGTTACCTAGATTTTGGAATTCACTTTTTATTCCAAAGTGTCCAATTTGATTTTTTGGTTTTCTTATAGTTTCCATCAGACTGACCAATGGGACTGACCACTGTTCAGGCAGGGTGGAGGTCTTTTCTGGCGGCCTGTGGTTGCCAGCATACAATCTTAACTGGGGAATGAACGAAGCTTCCGTCGCATGTAGAGAAACAAATTGCGGCGATCCTCTCAACGTATTATGGAACTACGGTGAAAGTAAGGATCAGAGAGGCCTGAGAATCAGTTGCAGAGGTGGAGAAAGCTCTCTCACACAGTGTTCGCTAACAACACACACAAGGACCAGCCAGGAGCGCCTGGAAAACGTTGGAATCAAATGTTCAGGTAAGGCATAAAATGGTTTCCATTCATTTATATTAACATGGACATCAATACATTTATGTCATAATTTTTTTTAGGCAATTTGAGATTGGTAGGTGGGGAAAATAGGTGTGTTGGCCGAGTGGAGTACTTCAACGAAGGCCAGTGGGGCACAATATGTGGTGAATCCTGGGATTTTAACGATGCTGGAGTGGTGTGCAGGCAGTTGAATTGTGGCAAGGCTTTTAAAATGACCACCATGACGGAATTTGGAAGTGCCACGTCACAACAAATCGTCGATACTTTCCAATGCAATGGCTATGAGTCAACAATATCTCAGTGCACCATGACTAAGGTTCAGGATAGGATTTGCAACGCCACCTCGATTGCTGGTGCCATGTGCAAAGGTAAGAAAAAGCTCCATTCTCATTCAATAAACTGCACGTTAAACATTGATATGATCAGACTAGATTATACAAACTGAAAGAAGATATTTCAGTTGCAGAGTGTGTTTGTAGAGTAGGATTAAAGACCATTATTGAAATAAGGCAGCAGTTTCCCATGATGTCATTCTTCTGGTTTTGTATTTATTAATAAGAGTGAAAGAGTGGCATCACAGCCACACTTCTATTGGATGACCCAGCTGTCAATCAAATCAACTTGTGTCCATCCTCTCCCACTTAACTGTCACTCAACACTGTCTCTTCTTTCCTCTACATGATTTCACAACAGAGATGTGTTTGAATTTCTAATGATAAGGATAAAACATTAAATCTGGGCCTCAACCAAAGCACTGACTGATGTAAAACATTTTTGTCTTAAATGAAAAGCAACTAAGTAAAAATAGGAGACACGTGAAGTCTCCTGGGGCCTCACCAACTGCTGCCAGCTGCTCTTGTCAATACGAAAAATAGGTCTAGTGTAAATGTCATTTTTTTCCTCACAGTCTTTAAATATGTCATGATTGCTTGACTCTGCAGAAGCTTTGGAGGTCCGCCTGGTCAAAGAAAACGACGAGTGCTCTGGAAGAGTAGAGCTTCGTCACAATGACGTTTGGCAAACCGTGTGTGACTCACAGTGGACGATGAGCAAAGCTCAGGTGGTGTGTGAACTGATAGAGTGTGGATACGCCATGAACGCCCCTGGTGCTGCACATTTTGGCCAGGGCACCGGTCCAGTGGTGGAAGCAACCAATTTATGTTTCGACAATGCGACATCTCTTAAGCAGTGCACAAAGAAGGGGTTTACCACTGCAAGGTGTGGACACGAGCACGATGCTGGTGTCGTCTGCGCAGGTAAAAACCTTCAATGTGTTTGTTTATAATGAAAATATGCACCTTTAAAAAACAAGGTTGTATCATATTAGATCATATCAATTAAAAAAAATTCCTTTTGTACAGTTTTTTATACTTTCTGACTAAATACTAAACTGTTTTTTATTTGTACTCAAATTATTTTTTGGACACACAGCAATGGTCCGTTTGGTTGGCGGCTCAGGGCAGTGCTCTGGGCGGGTGGAGGTTCTATATAAAGGTTCCTGGGGAACTGTGTGTGATGACGAATGGCAGATAAGTAACGCCGATGTGGTTTGTCGACAACTTGGCTGCGGTCATGCCGTATCTGCACCTATGAATGCTCATTTTGGTAGAGGCAGTGGTCCCATATGGCTGGATAACGTGGAGTGTACAGGCCAGGAGAGTGCGCTCACACACTGTCCACATAACGGGTTTGGAGAAAACAACTGTGGACATGGGGAAGACGCCAGTGTCATATGTTTAGGTAATTCTATTTCTTTATCACAAAACTGTGCTGCCTACTATATATATATATATATATATATTTACGATGTGTTATCAATTTCAGGTTCTTTACAAAAACCTGAGATTACTTTGAGCCCTGGCACAGAGGTGAACTGGGGTGACAGAGTTGAAATCACCTGTGCCTTACCATCAGAACCGTCTGGTGGAACTTTCATCCTGAAGAAAACACAGGGAGCGTTTAAAATGGAAAAATTCTCAGAAAGTGAAACTGCAAACTTTGCATTCTCCTCAGTGGATTTCAGTCTAAATGGATCGTACTTCTGTGAATATCAAAAGAAACTGCCTGATCAGGTCCTTTACTACCCTCAAGGAATTCCAGCAGATCTCTCCGTCGGAGGTCAGAACTTCTGTCCTTTTTAGAACATGAGCGTGGGAGATTTTTCTGTGTTGTGACGAACCACAAATATCTGTTTCTCTTCTTTAGTGAAACTGGAAAAGCCGAGCATTTCGATTACGTCTCCTCATTCCATGGTGGTCTACAGCCCTGACCAGATAGCTGTCAGCAAAGGCGCCGTCTTCTCCATCACTTGTTCGACTTATTCTAAATATTCTGAAGGCGTCTTCTACCTGACCAAGTCTAAAGTGAACACCACTAAAATGAAGATGTCGGTTGGCCATTCTGTCTTCCATATGGCATACTTTGAGTTCCCTCAGGTGGATTTTCAACACCAAGGAGAGTACACCTGTGTCTACAGCGTTAACCTCTCCTCCATAACGTTCAACTCCATTCCCTCAAGCTCACTCCAGATCACAGTAGTTTGTAAGGCATAAATGCAATTGAATTTAACAGAAAAAGAAATTAGGTACTGAGTGATTGATTCGTTCCCTACAGCTTCCACAACATCAGGAGTGGTGACGGGACTTGTGGTTGGTTTGGTGGTGTTACTAGTGGTGGCTGTAGGCATCTTCCTCTGGAGACGAAGGTGGCGTGGTGCTGGTAGGTGGCAGGGACAGCTGTTCAGTGCTCATCACTGTTTGCAGAGTGTTAAAAAAAATTGATGTTGGCTCAACCCAAAATAATTTATAGACTGCTCTGGGACCTGATGAGGTTTCACTCCTTTTTTCAGGTGCCATGGTTCAGTTCAGCAACAAGTTTGGAGGACCAGTAAAACAAGATGTACAGGACCGAAGCAATGGAGCATACAATGAAAGGTGAGGAAAAAAATAAATAACAACTTAAAAAATATTTTAATGTCCGTAATTCACTGCATGTCTTTCATCTGACAGGAACAGCAGCACGCTGGATGATCATGGCGGGCAGGGCAGCAGCCCTGAAGACAAAAGTGTGGATGCTCAGCCTGAAAACACTCTTGAAACAGAACCTGAAGACCTGGCAGGGAGAGTGTGTTATGAGCTTGAGCCCCTCGTTCTTTCTTGATAAGAAAGAAATAACTCTGGAGGACAGCTTTTATTGTGTGTTTTCGAAACCTGTGAAGAGCAACACACCAGTTCAGTGGTGACTCAGTGAGTGTCATTACAGTCTGTAACCACAGGAAGGCGTTGATGTCACCCTGCACTAATAAGTGGAGGGGCTGAGGCGTTGGTTGTTGACAAAAGAGAGGCTGTGATGTTTGTCTTGTGTTCCTTTAGGAAACACCGTAGGCACATTCGTTTCTGTGTTTATTCTCATTTCTTTTGCAGCCAAATAGAAATTCTTAATCCTATTAAACTGATTCTACTTAAACTGTTGCCTTAATGGTCATGTCATGCAGAAACATATTTTAGCAGCAAGTATTTTTTCCAATTCTCTCAGACCAGTTACAGTCTTCTGAATCTTCACACATGACAAATCTACTTGCACTTACTTGCGACATTGCTTACTCAATTACAATTTCATTCATTTCATCAATTTTGCTGTTAATGATGATCAATAAATTCATATTTCTTATTTGTTTCTCTGTCAATTCATTTGCTGAATGTAAAGAGTTGATGGAAGAGGTATTTGATAAAAACCACCTTTGGGTTTAGCACAACTGTGACCACAACATGGTGGCATAGCAGTGAAATCAATGACAGTACAGTACAAGGATTTGATAAATACTTGTACTGTACTTCATACATTTTGTCACCAAGGTTTTCTTTTTGCAGCAGGCATGAAAGAAAGTTCTTTCTCATTTTGAACAGCATGGCAAGTTGTCTTTTCAGAAAATTTGATACTGTGCATACGGTACAGTGAGTACTCTCTGACATTAATGCATTTCTCAAGTAAAATACTTAAAAATGTACTTCGTAAGATTACTCCTATGATCAACTTCCCTTCCCAACCACATTAGGTGTCAGTGCTTTCACATCATTCATTCTGTCTGTAATTACTGAGTAATGTCACAATTGTTTTTTATATATTCTCACAAGTGTGTTTCTTTGTACATTGTACATATATTGTTAATTTATATTAATTTCCCTTGTAAATATCTCCTCCCTCCCTTACTTTGTTATACTCTTGACATTTTGCACCGTGTGTCAGAGAGGACTGCAATTATATTGTGCTAAATGAACTGTTTGTATGGCATATTTGATGATAAAGTCTTTAGCTTTGAACTGCTGTCGACATGCCGTAACTGGAATGACAGTCCCTCAAGTGGGCGTGACCAGTTAGGTAAGTCCTGTCCAAACCTGCTCTCCTTGTCTGCTGTCTGCTACTATAAACCAGCAACACGTCCCTATATGAGGACATTCTCTGTCTGTTTTCACTCACTTACAAACGTAAGTTTTATTTTTTCACACAGCCAATATGCCGGTGATAGTGTTTTGGACCAGTGTCAGCTCTAATACGACGGTATGGTACAGTTGCTTGCTTTATTTATTTATTTTAAAACACTTTTTTTCTTGCTTCTGCTCTCTTCCTTGTTATAATATAGTGTTCTGTTGGTGGATATTTAGAGTTGTGTGTTGCTCACTACGGAGATTTGTAATCTGCATTTATTTAACATGGAGAGTCAGATCAGATGTAAATACACGGTCAAAGAAATCTTCATAAAAACTAACACTGATACCAACTGTCTCTTCCAGATAAAGAAAGGCCAGCATAGAATCTTCGACATCCTGTCCTCTTTAAAAATCCCTCACAAAGCTGTGGACATTTCTCAGAATTCAGACGACAAAGACCAAATGAGAGAGATTGCAGGAAACCCAACTGCATTGGCTCCTCAAATATGCAACGGAGAAGTTTACTGTGGAGTGAGTTTTATGAACTGTAAATACATTTCTGGTAATGAAGGACATACACAAAAGACAGTAACTGACAGTAACAATGTACCTCAGGAATTTATGCCATTTAATTCTCAGATATTTAACAGCATTGCTACACAGATGTTATTGTTAGTCAAGCTTTAGCTTTGCACATTGATTCTTTCTACATGAATTTCTTAAATAAACCTAGAACATGTTTTATTAACATTCCTGTCAACCTTTAATTGTGAAATGTTTTATTCTGTTGCCTGGCAAGTCAAAAATATTTTCTCCGATCAATGGTTATTCTTTACAGACATTTCACCAAATATATATACCTAGGATTTTTCCTCAGCTCTGCCTACAAGTTTATTGTATTGCTAATTTAAATGAAACTGTAGGCATCTGGAAAATGGACAGACCATAATCTTAAACATTGTGGTCATATAGTTCAAAGAGTAGCAGTAGAGTAGTTTTCCAACATCTGTGTTTGAAAGGTTCCTCTTCTCTGTCTTCCAGGATCTCAAAGCATTTGAGGAGGCAGTTGAGATGGATAATTTGCAAGATTTCCTCCGACTTTAATTGGTGTTACACTCGACCACAAAGACACAACACACATATTAAACAAAAGTACATGGACTTTAAACAATGAAGTTATATTAATGTAAGTGTTTTTGATGTGTGGTTAATTAAAGGCATAATAAAGAAAATGGCATAATAAAGAAAATATCCTGTTTGTGTCTTCATACAAATGCAACTGTGTAGTGGGATAGCAACAAGATGTTGACATACATTTATTCATGTATATATAAATAGGAAAGTAAAATTTGATTTGGTTGAAGTGTAAAACACAAAAGCCATATCAATATTTTTACAATATTTATATAAATTAAACATAGTTTTTCATTACCTGGGCAGTAGTTTATTACAATATATAAAAATAATATTATTTCAATTGAATTTGATATTAAAACAAACATTAGCCATAACATCTTTTATTTATAATTTTTATTTTATAATCAGGTCTTTTAGAGTAATCAAGCGTAATCTAAATTTAATTTTAAATATATATAAAACCACAATATTTATTATTCAAGTAACTTATTAAATTATTTAAAAGAACAAAACATGTTTATTTTTCAATTTTTGTTTACCTGTAGAAAATGTCAATGTTAAAGAAAGAAGGAAGAACCTAAATGTATTTAAATCCAAACATGACAAAAGGAATATCAAAAGTTTAAATCAAAATATTGTCTTTTGTCACATTCAAATTTAATACACATTCAAGTATAAAATATTTTCTTCCTAAATTACAGGTTACTGAAACCTTAAATACAATTCACAATGTTTTACTTTCTTATGTTTTAAGAACATTTTGTAAACATTGTGGAGGTTGGTAATCAGGCACAGCGTCAGACGACTCAGGGGCCTAGTGCAGGTATTAAACTAGCGTCGCGCCCTGATGACGTCCTCTTTACCCGCTGCCTGAGAGGAGCAAAGGGTGCGTTTCTTTTCCCAGCTGTACAATCTACCAGATTAATCAAGCATCTTTGTGTATAAAATCATTACAGTGACGATTGTACCATGTGTATTAAATCCCGTTTCACATATGTTTTTTATTTCAGAACTTAAAGTCCACCATCCATCCTTTATCTACAATGGCCGAGGAAGGGTGAGCATGACGTTTATGTCCGCCGTTGCATTTTGTTAAAGCTGTGATTCAGACAGTATTAAGCGAACTTCGGGTTTACATTAAAACAGTCATGAGTATTAATTAAAGTTCAAGTGAATTTGGGCAGTTAGCCGTTTACTTTTACCCTGACAAACTGAAATATGCCAATGCTAACAGGTTAGCTGTTGAACTGAACTTAGCTGCAGATCCTAATACTTCACCCTAAAACGTAGTCCAATTCTGAATCTTTAAAGTTCTTCTGTGGAAGGAGAGTGCTTTTGTGTTTTATGTTTCTGTATATCTTAAAAACATTTTTAAGTATATATGCACATGCACAGCTGTGTTGTATTTCCTGCTTATTGGTGCACATTTCTGCTAGTATTGATGTAAAATATAGGTGTTTTGGTTCTAAATCGAAATAAGTTCCTCTGGCTTGAATGATGACTTGATAATCTTTTGTCGGATACCCCTTCACTCTTCAATGAGTGAACTCTTCATTCTGACAAGCTGGAGCTCAACTGATTCGCACAGCATTGTAGTTATGGTTTATTTTTATTCATCTTTGTTTGTCCACCTTTTTGATAGCATTGCTGCCGGAGGTGTGATGGATGTCAACACCGCCCTACCTGAAGTGCTCAAGACCGCACTCATCCACGACGGTCTTGCCCGTGGCATCCGTGAGGCTGCCAAGGCCCTGGACAAGTGAGTTACTGTCATTATATTGACTTAATTGTTAACTGTTGGATCGCTGATGCTATTTTGGCTCCCTCTACTGAACTCTGTGAGGAGATTGCCATTGTTACCCAATTTGTCTGCGATGTCCTTAAGTAGAGTAGTTGTGTTTTTGTAGTGAGTTAAGACATTTTTGTCTTGTAGGCGTCAGGCCCATCTTTGCGTCCTTGCTGCCAACTGTGATGAACCCATGTACGTCAAGCTGGTAGAGGCCCTCTGTGCTGAGCATCAAATCAACCTGATTAAGGTAAACCTGTGACCTTTTTCACTGCATGTTGTGTATTTCTGACTTTTCTGTGACAAGTGTCAGTACTGCTGTATCGCTGATGATAATTTGGCTCCCTCTACTGAATTTTGTGAGGAGATTGCCATTGTTACCCAATTTTTTGACTGAGATGCAGTGAAACAATGCTCGCACAACTGTCGACTGTTAAGTTTCTTAATGTTTGAATGACATGTTTTTTTTTCTGAACCCTTCCTGTGTCTCAGGTCGACGACAATAAGAAGCTCGGTGAGTGGGTCGGTCTATGCAAGATCGACCGCGAGGGCAAACCCCGTAAGGTCGTGGGCTGCAGCTGTGTCGTTGTCAAGGTAAAGGATTAGAAAGTAAAGGATAAGTTGAACAGATAGATGCCAGTTGAGTGCAGGTGCTGTGCTTTGTGCCGTGCAGCTGTTTAAAATGATAAACTGGCTAGAAAACAGCCTGAGTACGAGCCCCTTCATCTACACGTGGTGACTGGGGTCCCTGAGAAGGGCTACATATCACACATCAAGTGCTGTAGTCCATGACAAACCATGTTGTCAAACGTGATGTTTCATATGAACCATATTACTGTTTACAAAACCATTGTTGTACACTCATGACTGTTATATCTGCAGGACTATGGCAAGGAGTCTCAAGCCAAGGATGTCATTGAGGAATACTTCAAGTCCAAGAAGTGAGGGCCAATAAAAAAATGAAACGAAGCACTCTGTTGTTGTTGTGATTAATTTTTCATACAAACGATCAAGCAAGATCATTGCATTAATGGGAACTTTTCTGTTTGTACTGTGAACACCGGTGCTGTAATACTGGGAGTTGTTAATTCTACATTTCCTGCATTTAGTTTACAATTTTACTGGTCCAGTTGCTTTCTTTATGTATGTGATGAGTTGATCAGTTTTCTTCTGTCTCCCTCCTTATGCGTGTTGACAACTGTGTCAATATGTGTAGCTTTAGCACATGACATTAGATGAGATTTGGTTTGTCTGGGCAGTGAGCTGGTTCTCTGCGTCTGTCACAGCTCTTGATGTACTTCAATTTACAACTTTGAGTTGAGGAACTCTGCTCTGCGTTGACTCTCTCTAGGGGTTAATGTTTTTTTGTTTTGTTTTTCTGGTGGCAGCTTGTGTTTTGTGTTATAACTTAATGTGCCAGTTGTGTCTAATTGTACATGGTTGAGACATGGTATAGTGTGCTCATTTGCTTTATTTTGTATTTGTTCATTTGAGTTACTGTCAGAGGTAGTTCACTGAAGTTTTCAGAACCACAGATTTAAAAAAGAAGAAAATACAAAAATTGCAGCCTGTAAATTACGTGATATTTTAGTCTGGTTCATGAAAAAAAAACTAGAGTAATAGAGGAAGCTGTGTTGAAGTGTTTTTGAATTTTTAACAAAAAAGACACAAGGCAGAAGTTTGTTGGATAACATTACTTCTTTATATCTACATACATAGACATTTGTAAATAAAGAAAAGACATTCAAACACGTTAAGGCACAACACATCATTACGCACATCCTCAGTTTCTCAAAAAAGAAAAAAAAAAAAATACAAAATCCAGAGAAAAAAAAAGACCCAAAACATAAAATTTTCCTTTTTTTTTTTTTTTAAAGCATCCACCACTGTTCTTAAGTTCAAGGTTAATAATTTACATGAATTGCTGCCACAGACTGCATTGTTGAGTTGATTATACCACCATATAAAAGCAGCTCTTATTCCTGCAAACACACAATCCTACCATTTATAAAGAGACCTTTATTGTAAGGGGACAGTTCACCTCCTGTGACCCACAACAGACCAGGCTGTTGCCTCAGAATAAATATGCCTACGTTTGTCAAACACCGCATCCCGGACCAATGTTTGTCCTTCTGTCTGCACCAAGTGTCTCTAATCCAGCTGCTGGATTGTCAGGGAGGTGCGTCCTCAACATCGCGGGCAGAGAGGATGAGCAGGAGTGCTGTAGCTAGATGAGATGTCATCCCCTGCTGTCCTCTAATTCATCTGCCTCTGCCTTGACATCACTTTTTAAGACCGTAGAGAGTTTGTAAAATTCAAATATTCCAAAAAAAGAAAAAAAAAAACCCCAACAAAAGGGGATGGGGAATCACAAAACAGTTGCAGTGTATTGTTTGTTATTAAATAGTTATACAAAAGAAGAAGGGGTAGGGGGCGCTGCCTTGCCGACAATGTCCGTCGTCACATGAAATATTGCTTAAGTCCATATTTCTTAAAATAGCTACAGGTACTCAAACTCCAGTGCTTGGTGTAGTGCCAGCAGATCAGAGTGACTGGATATCCTCCAGAAAGGCATGTTGTGCTGCAGAGTGGGGAACACACATGGTTAAAACCAGCAGTACTGTACTGTACATTCACCCATGGATATGCACCACCACCTGACGTCATGCAAGCTACACTATCGTAGCTTGTAGCCACCCGGCCTTGCCATAGCACTGCACGAAAAACCCATGCAACTCTATGAGGTATAAAGGAATGACACGGTATTACAGGGAAATGTGTTTATTCACTGGTGCCCACACGCGTGTGCGTTCTGTGGATAAACATGCTTCTTAGTCCGTGTATTCCTTTAACAGTCCCAACACCAAACACACATGAAACCCCCAAGCTGAAGAAATGCCAAAACCTTTTGTTTAACGGTGAAGCAGCGATGTGCTTCAACCTATAGACCGTGTACAAGAAATGGATGTATCCACCCCATTGGAAAGTGAAGCTTCAGCAGTAGACAGGAAGAGCTGAGCTGGGTTGTAAAATTAAGCTGCTTCTCACTTAATTACAAATTGCAAGTATTTTTGAAAAAACCCCTTTAAGGTCTCAATCAGCAATGCCAATTATAATATAATTATATTATAGGGTATATATAATATGATATATAATTATTGCTGGACTGGATTTAACAAATGAGAAGTAAAAAACACTATAAATATTGAAATAGTATTGAAACTACATTAATAGAACTTGTTCAACTTGTGCTCCCTCTAGTGGAAAACGGAGAATTTCTTTAGTTAGTGTTCTGTGGTACTTATTGATTAATCAAACTGATTGAATTAATTTGTAATCATGTTTCTGTTATGACATGATCAGTCTGTTTAGAATCAAACAAAGCAAATCTGAATCTAACACATTGATGGGGAACAAAAACCCTGTTGGTTTGTATGTGGCAAAGCACCTAAAATCAACTAAATAGATATTGTATCATAAACTCTGAGGAGAGTTTTCAAACGAATCCTCATAGACTTCCATTAATACTGTGTTAAACAGCTGCTCTCAGTCTACTACCACAGTTTGCAATCACAAGGCAATGTCCATTTCTTTTAAACTGTCTACAGTCTGCATCATAAGCTACGCTACCACCAAGAAAGTAAGGTTCCACACACACTCAAACAACAGGGACAGTATGACTCATTGAGCTTAATCTCTGTGTACATTTGGGCAACTATTTATTTCAAATCTTTTTTAATGATGTCATCAGCAGCATGAATATGAAGGTGCACAATGTACAACTTTAGCCAAGCTTCAATCTCAGAAGGTATTTTTAGTGCTTGAAACCAAAAGTCAAAAGGATGAAAATGGAAAACATTTCCAAACACAAAACCGCTAGAGCAATGAAAGGCAGGCTTCGTCCAATTAGAGCTCACACTGAGCGGAGTAGGCAGGGTTCACGGTGACATGGCGAGTCCATTACCTTTTTGGCCGCCTGCTCCTCTTCCACACCGTCCCCAATTACAACATACACTACTTTCCTGCCAAACCTTTGCATTATGCGCTCAAAGCAACTCTCTTTTCCTGCAAAAAACAAATAAACAAGGGGAGGAAGGAGGGTCACATGGTCAGAGGGGTCAAAGTTCAGGAGATGTTTGTTTACCTGGCTGGCTGCATGCTCTTCATCCTTCCCATCGCCAATCACAACATATGTAATGTTAGTGCCAAAGCGGGAGACTATACGCTCAAAACAGCTCTCTTTGCCTGGAGACAAACAAATGGCTTTCACAGCGTTTCTTTCTTTGTTTGGATGAACAAAGTGAGTTACTGACGTCTTACTGTTAACATTTGGTTTGTTTTTTTAGTAGTTATATAAAACGCCTTTCTTATTGTGTTTGCTGAGGCTTCAACTTAAACATTTGAGTTAACTTTGGCTTTTTTTTCACATTTTTCCATTTTAATAATTACATCATTTAAGTCATACATTTTGTCATATTTAGGCCTGTTGATTCAACTCAATTAATCAGGATAAATCATAATGAATTGATCACCATTAATCGTGATAATCAATTAAAAAACTGGTTTAGGAAAACCTGAAATGATGTAAAACCTGCATTTTACCATCTCGACTGTCTTGACTGGTACTTCGACACATCAGTGAAAACCGTACATCACAATAATGTACAAACAACAAATACATTATTGTACATTATTGTGAACTGTCAACACATCAAACACACTGGTTAATAAAGTATATTTTACAGTATTGACAACAATATTGGGCAGATAATGTTTCAAATGTGTGGGATGTTTGTGCAGTCGTGTGTTTCTCTTACCTATTTTTGTTGCACTGTAAATATTCTCGATAGGGAAAACCGACCCCAGACTGTATAAGAGAACCTTAGCAAGTGCTGGTATGAGCTGCGTTGTGGTGACCAACACGTTGACACAGTTACTCCTGTCGGATTTAAAAAAATGGACAGAGGAATAAAGTTGAGTCAACATTGGCAACATTGAATCGTAAGCACAGTGGTTCCCAAAGTAGGGGGCTGGTGCCAAAGTGGGTATACATTTTTATTGTATTGTAAATGTTAATTTGTATTTGTCTAATTAGATTAGAAGTTTTGTACATCTGGACGATAGTCTAATGTAAAGGCGTGCTGCAGAATGACGTTTGGGAACCACGGCTTTAGCTGCACAGATTAGTTCCTGTGAGTGAAGGCAGCACCTGGAGCTGATGATGGACAAAGACTTGAGTGCGTGTGTGAGCCAGGAGTCAGTGAGAGCCTCGACTTCTGCCCTGAGCTGCAGCCAGGCGTCTCTCTTAGCAGGACCCAGCAGACCTGAGATAAATCATAGACTCATTTATTACAAGAAGGAAAAAAGGTCAGACATGAAAGGACACAAGAGGAAGTTCAGGACCTTACAAACAACTGGGTCCTGGGCTGCACTACACATATACTTGTAGTGCATCTGTCTAAAAAAGTCTAATACAGTGGCCTCAGTGTCTGTGTTTCATTTCAGTTAACATTCAGCTGCAGAAATACTGTAAATCAAGCAGATGAAGTATTGATCCAAAACATGTTGTGCATTTTATGAATGTATAAATCAGTGTAATTTGGCTGTAATGTTTTAGTAAGAAGCTGGTTTGTGACATTGCAATATTTTATACGACTAACTGTTACACTGGATGTACTGTACATATCTGTACTTGTACTCGTTGCAGTGTTTTTCTCCAGTCCTAAATGTATAAATGTGTAACATATGAACAGTTTTAACCACCTGCAGCTCACACAGAGAAATCATTTTTAACCAACGCAGTTGAATTTACTGTTCAACCCCAACAAAAACTCACTGTATCCCCACCTAAATACCCGTGTTGTTCAGTGAAGCCCACTGTCACGTCTGACTGGCTTACCCCCCACATTGTTTTTGTATGTGCTATACAACTCTTTGACCCGTCGGTAGCGGAAGGCCAGTTTCCTCATCCAGTCGACGCCGCCGCGGACACCCGTAGCCAGGCACAGGTTGGCGCTAGTTGCAGCTGCATGGAAGCCATCAGTTGCAAAACTGTAAGTACTGTCAATAATAATGATATGTTTTATTTGAAAAATCTGCTCTGGCAGAACAAAGAAAATCAAATGGTTATGGTTAGGTATTTATTTTCATGCACACAGTAAGTGTTACTATATACTTACTTACTAAACTGAATGCAGTTAGATACGTGCAGTAGTTTGTGTAAAACCTCGTCCGGTAAATGACTCACCTTAAATCCTGGCCATTGTCGTCTGATGATACGTCATCAATATGTACCTGATCACATTCCTGTGAAGATGAAGAAACTTCTGGTTACAGCTGGTTTCCTACTCAGATGTTAGCACCATCCAGTTTGACCTTGTTTTTGTTACATTGTAACACATTGTTTTCCATTATGTCTGTTGTGTCTTAAGTTTGCATTATGTAGTTCCTGTCATGTTTCTGTGACATTACAACAGTCAGTCATATTTTATGAAAATTGTAGTGGAAATCAAACGTTAAAGTTCTTTTAGAATGCACATTTGTCCTTATAAATCAGTAATTACACAGAAGTGCTACTTCTTTTTGTACCACTAGGGGGCAGTAAAGGTATTCAACTGACGAACATGATTGCCTTTTTTGTTTTTTAGTAAACGTTAGTATGTATCCAAAAATATATAAATCATCATCACCTCCAGGTCATTAAAGAACAGGTGTGTGTCGGCCAAGTTGAAGATCATCTCTTCCATCCTTAGACCCAGTGTTACTGCCATAGGTGGGTCCTAGAGAAGTCAGATGATGACATCAGCATGACATCATCAATACAATCAGTATTTTTTTCTGACCACATTTATTTTCATTGTTTAAAAACCAAGTATATGAAGTGTTGCACTTTTGCCCATTGTTAATGTGAACTTAAGAGTTAGTGGTCGTGGTCATCATCGTCACAGTGGGAGACAGATCTGGACTGCAGGCAGGCCAGTGAACCAATGCACTCCATCTGTACAAAGTTATGACTTTGTAACGTGGGTGCTTTCCATTATTAATGATAGTTTTTTCTGGCGACATAAAACATTCAGTTGAGTGAAAGTATGCATATTTAATTCAGTTGTTTTTTAAAGGACGTGTCGACAATTTTGGAGAAATAGGGTCAGTATTTATGGTCATATTCCCCCCTCCACCCTCTAAGTTGCTAAGTTGGTTTGCTCCACTCATCACAGCAGATGCTGACAGACAGGTTGCACTTGTTCTGTCCCATCAACATTCCTCTGCTTGGTAGGGGGGCTATGTTTGTGTGTGTGTGTGTGTGCATGAGGAAGGGTGTCCCTCTCACTTGTGTGTGTGTTGCACAAAGTAGGTACCCTCTGAAAGGGGCGTGTGCAAACTGCGTGTTATGTGGTACGTGTGTTGTGTGTGTTTCGGAGAACACGGCACATTTTGCCAGCCCTGGGGCTCAGCTGCAAAAACCATCATCAGAGATAAGTCAGCGAGAGTCGACAGCTCGCCCCGCGATGTGCTGACGCTGAGAGGCGACCAGAATAGAAAGCAAGGAGCGAACGAAGGTGAAAGTGAGAGAGGGAGAGAGAGAGAGAGAGAGAGATTGAGAGAAGAGAGTGGGGTATTGAAAGAGAGAGAAAGAAAGAGAAAGAAGAGAAAGAAGGAACCCACAGAAACAAACTCATTGCCCCGTAAAGTTAAACTTTTTGAAATGCATAAGACTCCCCCCCCAAAAAGCCAACAGCTGCTTATAGTGACAGGAGCAATTCTGACTGTAGTTGGTCTCCTGCTTTTCTGTCAGTCAGAGAGACGAGAGGCTCTTAAAGCCCGTCTCCCAGGTAATGATCTCACTGGCCGACAGCCAGAGGAGAGTTATGGACGTCCACGTTAGTCAAAACACTCACAGCTGAAATGTGTTTTGTTCTCTCTGCACAGTTGAACTTGGCCGTGTCCCGGGCTCCACAAAGACCAAGATGGCTTTTGGTGTAATATTTTGCGAGACAAGTTAAATCAATCACAGAGAATTGCAAATATTACTCTGGTCTGGCAAGGATTTTCTGAAACAATTCCCCTCTCCACCTCAGCTATTATCATTCAAGCTCTGGAAACTCAACACCTCATGATGATGTGAACATTTGCCCTGGATGTAAGAACTTTTACAGAACTCCTGTCTGTGGGAGAAAGATGTCTTTACGGTGTGTTCCTGAAAAGTGAAAACATTACTAAAAGACCCCCGTCCTCAGATACCTCCAGGTTGTTGCCATGCCAACGGTGTAAATACTATGCTTGATGATGTGTGAATGAATACAGCCGCTGCCGTCTTCTCTGACACATGAAGTGAATGTTAAAAAGTCCACCAACCCCTGTCAAAGTGACAGTTGTCTGAAAAATATATTACATTTGTAGGAGGTTTTTTTGTGTGTATTTTAGCTCAAAACAAATAAGAAAAGCAGTAGATAAAAATGAAAACGTCTACAGTTTGTTATATAGACCTTGACTGAAGGCCCTAAAACAGCGATGTTTTAGGCCACGCACCCCCGTTCCTCACACCATTGAAAATCAATCCAATCAGGTTGTAACCAGGTTGTTATTTTTCAACATTAGAAAACCTGACATTTTATTATTCTCTATGAATCCATGTGGGTAAAGACATTAGAAAACATTTGATCTGCTATATAATTATCCTACAAGAGATAAACAGGAATGAAGAAGTCGTGGTTGTACCCACAACCCATACTAATAAAGTTTGGCTACTAATGTTCTTCAAGAGTGTGTGTGTGTGTGTGAGCTCCTGCCGTTGTTTTACTGTCAGACTAGGTTTCAGAGCTGATGCAAAGGTCCTTAAGGGTGGCGCTACAGCTAGGACGAGTCCTCGATAAACCAATATAAATCTATCCTGGGCCACATAGGATGATCCGTAGACCAGAGCCAAAAATGTTTGAAATAGAGGCAACTGTAAAGACTGCTGAAGACATTGGAGACTTTAGGGCTGGCAAATGGGCTCAGTGTGAAGCTTGAAATAAACAACATTATAGGTAAGAAATGGTAAATGTAAACTGTTTTGGACAAAGGTGAGCCTGAATTAATAAGAATGGATGTGGAATGTCATTTTAATATCCTGCACATTTTAGAACTATTGGATTTGTGTATGTCTGTCAGCGTGTTCATAAATCTGCTGAAGTATGTAGTTAACATGAGTGATGAAAAACACAACGCAGGAAATGAAGGTACATTTGAATTGTACGTCATAAATGTTTCTCATCACATCCCACTGGTAGATAGAATAGTACTGGTTCCTGACCTGACAACATTTCTGAACCTGGATTTTTTTTTTTTCCCCACAACAATACCAGAAACCGTGAAGCTGTTCAGCTGTCTTACCTTGCCATATTTTTGTGCATAGGAACCAGTGAGCAGAGAATGGAAGACAATAATTGTCTCATCGAGATCCCACACAAACACCCTCTGGAAAAAAAAAGAAAAAATAGACGAGGATTTCTTTGGTAGGAATTGCAGTATTTCAGATTAAGTTCAAGGAAGTAATGCAGCAGAAGCTTTGAGTGTTTGTTACGGGAGGGGCTTGACAATAATCAATGATCCACAAAAGTACTACAGAAGAAGTGAAGTTTAGGAATCACAGACTCAACCTTTGACCTGCTGAAGCCTCAGATCTGATTATTAGTGTCTGATAAACAAATCAACAAACTACTCTAAGTGTCTAATGTTTTGAATGTTACATTTCAAATATCAGACGGAAGCTTAAATCGTCTAAATCAGAAGGAAAAAACATTTTCTGAACTTCTGAGCTCCAGTGAAACACGTCTGTACTTCTGTTTCTGACGTCTGTAGTGTAAGAGCTCTGACCGTCAGTGGGTGTTTCTACGGTCTCTTACCTCTAGATCACTGTCAGGGGGAGGGGAGGGGTTGTTCTTGCGGCCCCTTCCCCTGGACTTGGACCCCCCACTCCGACAGGCTCGGTCATCCAGCTCTTTGATGGGCGTTGAGGGGCTCTGCACTGTGTCAAAGTCCCCTGGGAGTGAAAGCAAACATGGACATATTAAAAAAAGCACTTTTAGATTTACAAATGTTCTGTCTTTGGTTGCACAAGAAATATAAAAAAAACCAATACATTTACAGCAATAAAGCAACAGTAATGATGTGGTTTGAGCTGATCCCACAGGTGCTCAGGATTTTATCCACTTTGGGGAAAGCTGTAACTCAGACTTCGTACACTAATAAGCATTCTTGTCTGGTTTAATAAGTCAAAGTAATTGGCAGGACAGATTAACTTAGAGATGGCTGAGAAACAAAAGTACTATTGGTATTGTTGATGATTTAATGGTGACGTTGAACCAGAGGAGAAAAGTGTGTGATGAATAAAGTCTGGAGTCATTTGATTCTCACAAAGATACTGTACAGTACCTAGAAAATGTTGCAGGAGCACACACACACACACATACAGACACACACACACACATACAGACACACACACACACACCTACAGACACACACACACACACCTACAGACACACACACACACATACAGACACACACACACACACAGACTCCACAGCATGCTCCCACTGCTGTGTGGTAACCAGAACCAGACTCCGAGCTTCAGCTCTCATATTGTTATGTCTCAATCAGGCAGAAAAGGGAGGTGCAGAAAAGAGGAGGTGGCGTGGGTGGATAAAGACACAGAAAGACAAGGAGAATGTGTGAGCCACCAAAGGATAGAGATACCGACAGATTCAGAGAGTCGAAGTGAGAAAGTCAGCGAGAGGCAGGGTGCCAGTGACAGGAAGAATGATAAGCTCCTTTAATCAGGCTTCCTGAGTCACAGCCAAGGTAAACCAGAAATATTGAAAACAGAGGGAAAAGGAAAAATATGAACCACTATTCTTCACATGTGGCTGCGCTTTAGCTCTTACTTTCTGTTCTTTTTTTTAATTCTTGCTTTCACCCTCACTGACGTATCTATAAAAAACCTGTATTTCATAGCGCTCCACTCTGATCAGACTCTCAGGGCAATGTAAACACATGCCAACTCTTCACTTTGTGACACCAGGTACCGATGGTTAAGGTCTGAGGTGACAATAGCATTGTTAGCAACTTTTTTTTTATTTTAAATTTTCTAGATGTTTCTGGTAACCTAACAGTTGTTCTCTTTTTGAAAGGTCAATGTCTTTAATTTAATTTAATTCTTAGCAACTTCATTGGATACCACAAAGAGGTGTGTACCTTTTTCTGACGGTTTTATTTTTTGTTGGAAGTAACTAATTTGACAACATTAGGGTTTGATCTTCTTCACTGAGTTATTTCCTCCAGGTGTGGGAAGGTGTACCTCAGGGCTGGACTTCTGTTAATGATGTGCAGCCTGTACCTAGGATTCTGATGCAGAACCTTGAAACTAGATCCCTTAGAATCTCTAAGGTAGACATGTTCCTTGATAATAAACATTTAAATTGTATAAAATTAATCACTTCAGTCATTTCATATAATTCACAGACAGTCTGTGTCTGCATTTTCCTATGTTTGTTGGCAAGTGGAAAAACAGACCTTCTCAGCCCCTTGTGAAACACAACGCTGGTAAAAAAGAAACCAAACCAAAACCCCAGTGTAGATGGTTTGAACTGAACTTGGGTCACGTCTATTATGTACAGTAGATTTGATTTGAAAACAAACCTGGATGAAGTTCTGCAGCCTGTCCAGTCAAAGCCGGGCTGGGGTCCTGTAGCTGGTAGGCTGCTGTGGAGCCGGTACCGTCCACGCTGTTAGAGGTCATGTAAGTCCCATAAGTGGAGGTGGAATAATACTGGGCGTACTGGTTTTGGCCAAACGTGGTATATGAGGGATAATCCTGCAGAGAATGTATCATTATGAGCACATAAAAGATCCAAAGGGCACACAGCTGGCTGCATGAGAGAAAGTTGAGATGTTTCCATTGCCTGGAAAGGTTCAGTCTGACTTTTGAGGGCAGATTTTACAAGTGTTTCCCTCGGAATTCTCTAATCTTTTTTCTCCATTCTGTATTTTATATCCCCCCAAACAATTAAAGCCTTGTGTCGCTGCTTTTTATAGACTCGGTGGAGATGGGTGCTTTCATGAGTCAGCTCTCTAAACCTGTCACTATGTCCGTCTTGACATAGAGTGCAGCACAACATCATGAATGCATACGCTCACGCACAGACGCGTAAGCATTGTATACAGGCGGTTATGAATTAGTCCCTCACAGTCTATTTTTCTGTTAAACTCATAGACTTGCACACTCACTAATGCACACACACACACACACACACACACACAAACCATATTCCCCCCTAATCCACCCACATGAGCCAAACCTTGACTTTCTTCCTGTAAACAGCCACATTTATCATTCTGGGACATTGAAATCCCCCCTTAAGCATTTTACTACCCCAATACAATTCATCATATGGACACAGAGAAATATAGGGAACAAAACAGTCTTTCAAAAAGACAAATTTTTTGTTTGTCCAAGTTATGCTCCTGCCGTGAGGTCAGGCTGCGTGGATACTTTTTTTAGACTTCTCTGAATATCAAACGTTGTCTAGACATTCTGGTCTCATTTGGTATCAAATAAAGCGTCTTTTGTTTGGTGTGGGAAAGTGAACCTGTGACACAGTTTAAGTCCCCTTCAGAAATTCACCTCATTATTGTCCTGAACTATTCAAACATGGGAACACAATTTCCCAGAATAGTCAGTAAAATCAATTTGTTGCAATTAAAAAACTAGTTTGATCATTTGCATGGATATTTAGCTAGACTTTTAGAAGACAATGATATATGTTGGTGTGTTTTTATTAGTTTAATTATATAAAAATGTCTGTGAAACTTTCAGGTTGAGCAGGACTGTTGACTTTAGGTCAAGTGTGTCATACTAATTACTGAACGCTAATGTGTTGGAGTCGATCATTAGCTATATTTAGACATTTCCATCTTGATTTATTTTTTCTTTTTCTGCTACAGATGAAGCAACAATAAATACACATACCTGTTGTGTGGCAGTGTAGTTGGCGGGGTTGGACACTGAGTTGTTGGTGCTGTAAAGGCCTGAGGAGGGAGTGAAACTGGAACCTGAATGAAAGGGTAGAAACATTTTGAGATTGAGGTCAAAGAACAGAAAGTTTAATGAAAAAAAAAAAGATGATTTTGTTAATTTATTCTCAAATAATAATTTATTCTCACAGCTACTGTGTGTTTTATATGCCGGGTTTCCCCACACTGACCTGGCATCTGATAGGGTGAGTATGCAGTCTGACCAGGCTGAGGTGTGGTGAAGCCGGGGCTGTAGCTGAGGCTCGTCTGCAGAGGAGACGGACTCTGGGCCAGACCGCTCTCTGTCTTAATGCCTGGCAGCATCACACCGAGGTCTGGAACAAAAGACAAACATGGAATACTGCGTTCACCCTGAGTATTTTTCCTTGAAAAACTGGGAATGATCAGACTAAAAGGTTTCTTGGAACACTGCACCGTGGACTATCACCAGTGACTGAGGAACTAATATATTATACTACTACTGCTCCGACTCTAACACATGTATGTAACTCTGTTTTATTAGCACTTTTAAATTGACAATACTGATTTCCTCAAATCCAGCGGGATGTCTTCAAATACGACATGTTCAGCTGGTTGTGTTACTTTTGGAATATTATTCAAATTATTTTAATCATTAGTTTTACACTTTGCTCTGGATACTGGTATCGTGGGTACTTGTATATGTTTGTAAAAAGTGATATCAGGGCAACCGCAGTGTGTATTTGTTCCTACCGTAGGTGGACAGTCCATAGGCCTGTCCTGTCTGGGAGTAAGCCGTGTAGACAGAAGACTGCTGCATGCTGCTAAACTGAGGTTGACCAGCGTAGGTCGGCATCGGGGGAGCTGCAGGTGTGGAGAGGATGTGAGGGTAGGGCCTGGGGGAAGAGAACAAACGTAGATGAGATACAAATCTGTCAGTTTACAAATTTGATTTTAGTGGGTAAATTAATAGAGATTAAAAACCTAAAAGTAAGATTTGTGTTACGGTGGTACAGGAAGTCCCACTTACTTTGAAGGATATAAGGGAGGAGAGTACTGATGGGCAGAGCGAGGGCTGTATCCACTGCTGGTGATTACTAAAACAGCAAATGATCAGGAAACAAACAGGTTAGAGATTGTGCACAGAGAACGTAACCACTCCTGAACGGCACGATTCAACGGCCTTCAGTTTGCTGGAGCAGAGGCGCCGCTCAAGTAAACATAATTTGAATCATTTTGGATGGAGGGGAGCCAAGTTATTCCCCCGTCGAGAGCAGTGTAGTCCATGAAACCCCCTTTTTACTGGGCCCCTCAGTAAAACACAATGTCTGTTTGTGGTCATTGAGATGTCAGGGCTCAACACTGACAAACACCCTGCTGCTTCTTAGCCCTCGCTATGTGTTTCCTAATAGTTATGTGTGTGTACGTCTTGGGGTGTAAAGAACCGTAGAGTGTGAGTCTAAAAAAAAAAAAAAAAAAAAAACATGGACAAGTGTAAAATTGTCCCTCTGTCGCTCTCTCTCATCTCTCTGCCAGCCTTTGATGACGAAATCCAAGGACAGGCAATACCTCATGGGATTAAAGCTTTCAGCCGGGGCGACCACTGAGCCGGGGTGTGAGTGTTTGTGTGACTTTACTCAGGCTTCAAAAACAGAGTGAGGAAATCTTTGCTTATCCATCAAAGTAGGAATATATTTGTGTATTTCTGTCCACACATATGTGGGAGCACATGTGTGTGCGTGTGTGCATGTGTGTGTGTGTGTTACCTGAGCCTGCATATGTGTCTAGCGCTGTCTCGCCTGTTGTAGTGACTGCATCGCTGTTGTTCATAGGCTCGGTTTTCACTAATATAAAAGAGGGGACAGTAACAGTGTTAGAGGAGTCCAGTAAAATGTCAACAATGACACACACACACACACACACACACACAGACAAGCTACGGTTAATAAACCACCATGCATTTCCAATGTGAGAGCAAACAGTCTTTGTAGGGTCTCCACAGACTGTTACAAAAATTCCAAACCTATGAAATGTCATTTTAACACAGGAATTAGAATATTATAAAGAATAATAGTTGTTTAACCAACTTTAAAAATTCTACATCAAACTCTTTATCTATAAAAGCCTACACACACATATATATCCAAGTATTTGAACAAGTATCACATTTAAGTTGCAGTGTTTTTAATACACAGTATGATCCAACAGGAGAAAAATAATCACAGCACAGCAAAGTCGAAATCACAGCAAAACACCAGAAATCAGCGTTATGTTGGGATTCACACACATGCGCCTATGTACCATAGTCCTTGGATCCCGGGGCGGGTGGTGAGCTGCTGCAGCCCAACAGCCAATCAGCTGTGTTTAGAATGGTCATATTTTCACCTAAAAGGGTGCAAGGTGGCAAGGAGGTGAGGATACAACAGTGTGGACTCCCTGAGGTCTGCCTCAGGTACTGAGTAACCCCATAAACCAAAGAATGCCCAGAGTAAATCTGATTACATTCCACAGAGAATCAGGCTCTGAACTAGAAGACAAATCTGAATGGCCTGAAGATATTTGCCAAATCTTTTAATGATAACTTTCCGGATACTTTTCTTGACTGTTTGCCGACTGTTTCACAGGAAAAACAGTCTTGTCTTCCACTGTCTTAAAAAAACAGACAAAAACATGTCATCAAACCAGATCACGTAGGTGTAAGATATTCCCCCCTCGCGGGCTTTGCTGCTGCTTCACATTTTAAGCTTCTTTTTGACCACTTGGGGGCAGCAGTCGATACCTGTATTACCAACATCCACAAATGATTCACCTTTGCCTGGTTGTCTCTAAACCTCAGGATTCCTTAGGACTGAGAATTCAGGCCTGAGTTTCATTCAACGGCTGCATCAATTCCCTCTGAGGGACCAGACGAGCCGTAATGAAGACAAATTAGCTCAATATTGAGATGACACAGCGACTCGAGCGCCGGCTGATGTCAGGTGCCGGGAATGTTGGGTATGAAGTTAGTTTTGGCTCTGAGCTTGTCGACCCAGCACTGTCTGCCTGAACCATTAACAGTGAGCTCATCCAGAGTGATTTAATCTGCTCTATGTCATGAATTCCCTGTAATCTCGTCGTCCGATAATAAATGTCTACAAGCAGCGTCTGATTTTGTTTCCCCCATTACGTATCAAAATGATCCAAAAAAAAAAAAAAAAATTCAAAATAAAGACCAGAAAACAAACAAAAAAAAAACTTTTCAAACAGTAAACATGAAAAATGAAAAGATTAAAAAAGTCATGTTGAGACAAAACAAGGAGAAAATAATGAGGAGATGTCCCTGCTGTTGACATCTAAGATGTGATGCCTTAATGCTCTTGTAGAGGACATAGTTTCCAATAGGAATCACACACACACACAAACACACACCGCCAAGTGGTTAGCGGGCTGAGGAGTCCAGAAAGTGCTTCACTGTGTGTTTGCACACATTCTCCAGTGGTTTATTTAAGTCTTAATGCCAGCACATGTGTGTTTGTGTCTGTGTGTGTGTCTCTGTGTGTGTGCTTGTCTCCTTCCGCCTCAATAAAATTTCCCCAAAAACGACTTATCTCTGCAGGCTGAAAAATCTGTCTGGTGATTTTGCAATAGATTTCATTTCATTATAATAGACTCATGAAATCTGTTGCCAAAACTGACTTGAAGTATGTGTGGTCAAACTGTTGGCTCAGATTTTTGATTTTTCTTCTTTTAGTTAAAGGAGCTATACGTAGATATCAACAGCAACTGTGATATCTATATAACTAATGATATTAACTGAAAAGAGCATTTGATTTACAGCAGTGTCAGTGAGTTTTATGCACACCTACTGTATATTGCACTTTGCAGCCTTTTTATTTCTCAATAATTTTATGCAATTTTGTTTTGTGCAATAATACACGTACTGCTTTCTTAACTAAATGGATGTACCCTGATGTCTTACCTCCTGTTCCGTTGGTGGTGATGGAGGGGCTTCCAAGGTTGTTCTTGTCGAGTTTGGAGCCTGTGGATTCTCCACCTCCCACGCGGTTATGAGGACTGGCTAGGTCCTGCATTTCCATAGACCTACAGGAATGAAAAAGGAGAAAATAAGACATGTTGGGATTTTGAATGGACAAAAGATTAACAGGGCTGTGCAGGCAGCCAGGACTCTCCCACCAGTGTAGTGGAGAGCAGTAGGTGACACGCAAGAGTAAGAAGAAGCTTTAGCTCACGGCGGTTAGATATTGGTCGGTTAGACTGTTGGCCTTTGTTAAGTGTGTTTTTGTGTATGCACACTTCTGGGCTTGAGTACAAGTCCAGAGCCTGCCAGCCAAAAGGTCGATCACGATAAAGATATCGTGCGTGCGATGTGACTGACAAAAGTCTTGTTTATTAAAATCTCTGTCGTCAAGTCAGAAACAATTTGCGAGAGGTGTGAAAGTTTGTAAAAGAAATTCTTCATGCGTGCGCGCTAAAAAAAAAAAAAAAAAAGGCAACATAAAACGGTTGCTGGCGGCCCACCGCCCCGCCTGCCACAAACCCCTCTTCATGCGTGCGCGCTAAAAAAAAAAAAAAAAAGGCAACATGAAACGGTTGCTTGCGGCTCATCGTCACTGCTGCCACAAACCCACACGCTGACATGTGCTTTGGTGAGAGACAACTTCATGTTGAGTCATTTTGTGTGTAAGTGTGTGTGTGTGCCCACTCTGACTCATGCTGCCCACAGGTCGGTCACACTAGTGTTCTACAGGAGACATCAAAGTGAGCAGTGACGGAGACAGAGGCAGTATTAAACCAATGCGGGCTGCTGGTCTACCGCTCTGTGTATGTGCATACGTATATGTGTGTATGTCTGAGAGTGTGTGTGCGCGCGCGCTCCACAGGTTAGTGCATGCTTGTGCGTCCTAGGAAAGACAGCGTACATCTGTGTGGCGTTCTGGCCGAGGTCCATCTCGCTGCTACGGGCAGATAGCATCATCACACGTGACTGCAACCCACAGCCAGACTGACAGGTATAAACATATAGCTTTCAGCAGACAAAGACAAAGACGTGGCTAAAGGGCGAAAAGGATGGAGCGTTCCAAAGATAAACACAATAAATCAACTCTCTCCGTCAACTCTTTGTTCTATTTACAGCTAAACATTCATTCTGCTCTGCTGTAGACTAAAAACAGTGCTCACTGTTTTAACATCAACAGCACTTTATTGTGGATGAGATATTGAGCCAGGTCTTAATGCTAGACTAAAGACTAAAACATTGCCGCAATAAAAGTTAAGGACCTGTAAAGATCATGTAGCATTTTTGGTTCTCTTCAGTCTCCTCTTTCTTGTGCTTGTGTGTGTGAACACTTTTTAACCGTCCGACTCTTCTGTTTCTCAGCAGCAGGAAATGATTTTGTCAACTTTTTTTTTTTTCATTGCATTTTTCCTCTCTTGAAGGTGATGGCAGGAGTTGGTGTTTCATTCACTCGTCTGGTTTTCACATCATGTCTACCCACTGGGAAATAACCCGGCGTCCTTAAAGGAACATATACTTATTTCCTTCAGTGACTGGCATCACATTAATGTTAAAGGTTTAGGTAGAAGTTAGGTAGAAAACACCTACAGCAATTTCCCATAATGCCTCTGACACCCATTGATCATCTTATCCACCCAGCCATGAATAATTAATAGATATAATTTACTGTATGTGCAGCACGGTCCCTTTTGTCCTTATTGGATTGGTATCAGTATATATTTCAGTGTGTGAGTGTGGGTATGTGTGTCTTGGGAACGTGTTGATGACCTCATCTCGCAACTGCAGTGAAACCTCACCTCTCTGCACCATGAGCAAAGAAAAACACACACACAGGTTGACTTTACTATTCTTGTTAAGACTTGTGTATTCTTGTGTGTTTCCCAAACCTGACCCACATTTAATTCACATACTGTATTTATTCACCCAACAGTTAGAATAATCTTCAAACTAAATTATAAGACTGATAAATTTAGATTGATGTAAACAGTAATGTTGTTGTGGCTAACAAGGTCACAGATCATTCAAATTGTATCATCATCAATCATATTTAATAAAAGACAAGGTTGAATTCCTCATCCCCAAAAAATGTTAAGACATTAATAATAATTATTATTCTTGAATATCTCTGTGTCCTCTGTCTCAGTCAGATGAACATACCTGGTGTCTGAAGGGTCTGGAACATGAGATTCACTGTGTGATTTCTTCACCTGCAAAAAACAACAACCAAAAGACAAATAGTTAAATAAATGCAGGTTTTTTATACATGAAACAAAAATCACATGCACTAATAAAGACCCAGTGACTGACGGCCAATTATAAAGCCAACAAAAGGAGGACAAATTCATATGTTGTGCAACATCTGATCTCCAATCTGCTGAGGCTTAGAAAAAGAGAAAGAAATTGGCATCGTATTGGAAGTGACTTTTTAAATGGCACTTAAATGCGGAAAACACAATAAATCAGTGTCGGCTGCTGCGGCCAACGCTGTGACAGAAGTGCTAACTGGCCTCTAAATGACAGATATTAACTTTCCCTTGTTCACCTGTGACCCTGCTCCACCGTCAGCTCAGGACTCTTTCTCAGCCCTTAAAGAGTTGAAAGGTCAAAGTGGGGTCATGTTAGGTCACAGAGCTCACTCCTCACCCTTTAGCGGGTCAGTGTAGACACTAAATTGAGCTTTGACTTTGGGGGTTTACCAAGACATTTGGTCGTGTCAATCACTCTACGTTAAAGCTTTTCTTTTATCACTGCAGAAAAAAATAAAAAATAAAAATGAACTTTTCCAACGCAATGTACACACACCACATCGACACACAAAGTGCTTTTATGTATGACTGACTGTGAGGGTGTGCAGAGCGAGACAGCAGACCAGCGGTACTCTATTAAAATTCCTCTCTCTTATTTGGAACAGGAACTAATTAGAACAGTAAATGCAGGGCGGAGCGACGGCCAATGTATACCAGCTGCCCCGTAATCACTGTGTCAACACACTGTTGAGGTGTAGGGCATGCACGAGGTGCCAAACACACACACACACTCCCGCATGTGGAAATGCACACACAAACACACACGCAGTGCATTTCAGCCAGGCAGCATATTTTAGGCCATTTACACATTATCGCAATCACTTGTAGGTTTACAAAAAAGTGCTGGGCCAAGCAGACACTTAACTCCAGGTTTATTGAAACTAGGGCCAGTGTCTCTGTCGGCATGTGGGGGAGCGGGTGTCCTTGTAGTCATGTGTTTGTGGGGACTTTGTCAATAAAGGGTGAAGTCAGGATACAATGTGAGGACACTTGTCCGGTTGCCACTTATGGATCCACCTCCACCAGGCCGTGACGGTGTTGTAGGGTTAAAACACGGTACGAATCTAATGGGAGATTTCTGCAGAGGCTGTCAATTTACAATTGCAAAAAGTTGGTTAGACCATGCTATTTACATCTAAATGTGTTTAGGATATGACTACAACTACGATGCAACATGACCTGCACGTACTACTGTGGATTTCTAAATATGAAATAAAAGCAAGTATTGAAGTATTAAGCAAGTATTAGCTCTATTTTCTGATTCAGTTCATACTGGGTTATTATTGACGTCATTGAATATTGACAGTGACAGTACTATAAAGTTAATTCCCACATTTTCATTGAAACTATGCACAGATTCATGACCACGAAGGTGAAGCATTGCTTGGACTGTAGGTTATGAGTTATCAGGCATTTACTGAAACGATAAAGAAGAAGATGTGACTGTATATATATGTGTGTGTGTGTGTGTGTGTGTACATAGCATATCGCAGTTCTGTGTGCATATCATCAAGAGGCCTGAGATGCGGATTTATGGTCCTGATTAGAGGACCCTGCTGAGAGCAAATAAGAAGCAGCACTTAGCTGTTTAAGACGGAGTTCAAAGGTCATTTGTGACCTCGTATGGATCATCTTACACACGCACACGCACGCGTGCACACGCACATATCCACACATAAACACACAAAAGCCACTTTCATGTCACGTTTCATGCTTTGCCGAAATTTAACAAGGCTGTCAGTCACAGCAGCAGCGGCGTGGCCGTGAGAAACTACGATCCACATGTAGCTCGCTCAACGCGCACCACAGCTACTCTTGAGTGTGTGTGTGTGCGCGCGACCCACATGCACACACGCAAGGAATCACACCAGTCTGAGTGTTTCTGTCTCAACATGATCTGTAAAAACACAAGCACACGCAGGCTTTGATCCTGAAAAGCTTTTATCATGTACTTCATCCGTTGCACACTTTCTCTAACTGTGAACAGATCAGATCGTCTCACCTCCTTCACTGTCTCACCTCTTTTATCTTTGCCAGAAAAATATGCTCCTTCCTCCCTCACCCACTCATTCTCGCACACAAAAATCATGTTCTTTTTCATTTTCCAAATTTATATCTTTCTTTCAACTGGTACATTTTGTGTAATTAATTACAATATCTACTAGTTGTTTACTTTATTGTTCTAAAAAGATGTATCATCCGGCTGAGACACATTGGAATCAGATTAAATGCTGCCATGGACTTAAAGACAAAAAAACCTTACGTTTGCCCTGTATTTTAAAAGTCAGTGCTTTTCCCCCTGTGTTCCATCTCTAACAGGAAAATGAAGGGCCTCTTAGTGCACTCTTAGCTGGTCAATGTGCCTCAAGTACCCATTTGTGTCACCTGAGCCACTCAAATAAGTGACCTTTGACCTGGTTGGCCGGGTGACTGGTCGAGAACACAACCCCACCCGCTCGAGGGACTCCCTGAGGGATAAATACAGGTATTGGAGGTAATTAGAATTAATAACAATGATTTATTTAAGGAAACTACACACTGAAGTGTTTGTGTTCATATCAACAAATGACATTCATCATCAAATGGATGTTAAAATAACAAAAACCCTAATCTAGAAAAACAATAGGTGTGAAACAGCAGTGACTCTTTTCCACCGCCTCGGTTTTACTGCTTTTGCGAAAAGTTTACACGGAGGACGGTTTGACGAGGTTTTTTCTTTTGTTTCTGACAAACTGTGGGTCAGAATAAACAGTATGGTTCTGGTAATAAAGGGAACAGAGAGAATCAGAGAGACGAAAAGAGACAGAGAGAAAGACAGCACAACGCTGTGCTCCAAATATTTATTTTAAAGATCAGGATCTTTGGTTTTATTTTATAGTCTGTGTTTCTGTATGTTAAAAAAAGCAGAGAAAACCAGAGATTTAAATTTCAAAAAAGACCATAAGTATTATGATTATGTATTGAAAATATAAATTCACCAAAAAATATAAAAAATAAGTTTACAAAATTTACAGGTAATATAAAAAAAACTAGTTTTAAAAAGTGCTAAAAATAGGGTTTGTCGTTTTTTAGTTAGACTATTTTTTTATGTACAGACAATTTGATCTGATTAATTATGAGTTATTTTTGGATTGTTTTGGATGTTTTTGCTTTTTTAAATGACTTCTTATGTGTTCCATAATATATATTAAATTAAAAGTTGATCGGAAAAAAACAAAACCCCAAAATGTCAGATTACAGTCTCAAAAGAAGAAAGATGTAAAGAAAAAAAGACAGAAATTAATTTAAATATTGACAATGCCAATGGTTGTAATTGATCAACACTGCAACCCTGTACTGCATTCAATTGAAATAAAAGTCATGGTATACTTTCATTTCAATTGGATCAATTTTTATACAGCACAAATTATTGTAATTTCCCTGGATTTCAACATGAAAAAAAACCCATTAATTTGCCCGCTGCGGAGTAAAAGGTCCTCTCTTACCTCAGGGTGTAATCCGGTCTGTCAGGAGTCCTTTACTTCCACAAAGCATTACCAAGCTGTACAATCCACCGGCTTCCCGTCTCACACTAACTTTCTGGTCTCAAACACACAC